AAACCCTCTTGTTCCAAATTCGGTTGCGATTATGGAAAACGAGCGTACGGACTAGAAAAAAAAAAATCTCTGTTGTGGCAACCATAGTAACCGTTGCTTGTATAGTTTGGTTCTTCCAAAGGCGAGCTTGATTTCTAAGGGACAGACGGCACAAGGACGATGATGCATATCCGAGCACTCAGTTATGTATCCATACACAAACCCCACGCCTGCTTTATTTAACATTAAATTATGACGACCCGGTTGTCGCATCGAAAAACCGGGATTGTCTGCATCGGTCCTCCATTTTTGATGAGGCTGTGGGGCCGATCAGGTGAGTTGCCATATCGGGGCTAGTCTGGTATCCTATGTCGGAGGGTATTGCTCTTTCGTACAGAGTAGTATCGCCAATACCACTACCACCATGTAGGAACAACCATTCGACTTCCGTATGTTTCTAGTATGCGGATACCTGAAGTAGTATTCCTGCAAGCAGCTTGTTGAGGGCGGTTTCAACGGCAGAATATGCTCTTCTGTATTTGGTAGACACTTCTTTTCCAACCACACTCTTCCGGTTTACTTCTCTCATTGATAGAGCCCAAATGATGCGAATCCCCTGGAAGCCTCTCCATTCTAGTGGGGACCACTGAGATACAGCGAAGAGACAGGTCGAAAGCATCAAGGTGTCCCGGGACCGGAGGCATACACTACTACTCCGTATGGAGTGCTGATATCCTATTCGATTGAGAAGTCTCACTGGCACTTGGATAGGTGGTCCTTCGACCAAAGATTGGCAGCCATGGCAAACACAAGCGAACACTTTCCGTTCGAGAAGGGTACGCGACACCAATATTTCCAACAGTGCCTATCGATCGACAAGTCAGCAATTTTGACGTCTTCCCGATCAGGCAATCTATACAATCGTGCTGGCATCGCACCGAAGGTAAAGTTTACAGTTTCCGCCCGTTCCCTAGTTGGACGGGTCTCTATCTTTTCCCGGCCATGCGATTTTCAATGACACTTCGTCGTGCCTCCTGATATTGCTTGGCGTTTGGCCGTCTATTCTGTACTGTACTTGTGTCAGGCGTGATCTCGCATTCACATATTAGCTTGCATAATTCCAGCTAATTCAAACTACCTCGATTTGATACAATTCCTTGATTGCAATTGACCACAGCAAGCGGTCTTCTTCCAATCAACAGTCTTATACTCCATACAAGACTCGACAAGTGCTCTTCCCCCTATTGCTCTGTATCGGTATTACCACTCTCCTATTTTAGGCTTGGCATAGTGATAAGCCAGGCTCTTAAAACAGTATAGTGTACAATAGTCCTCCACAGCAGTAATAGTGGTAAGTATGGAGAGATGGGTGGTTCTCGAAGGAAGTCGGGTTATTTGCCAGGGAGTCTGTCTGGAGCAAAGGTCATCTACAGTAATTTGTATCCTCCCTCGCTGTAAATTACAGGAAAGATCTGGACCCAATCGCAGCAAAAAGGAACTATTTTAGTGGAATTGAGTGTCTCCGCCTGATACATCATAATACTTCTCACCTCCACTCTTCTCCAGACTGTTGTGCAGACTCCAGGCACCGCACGGAGGATTCTGCATCTAGCCAACTGTTTGCGCGCTTGTCGGTTTCCTCGATCTATATTGCTAGTTAGTCTGCCCCGTATCTACAATATCGCCCTCCTACAGAGTACAGTTTTTCATAAATCAGTCTGTATGAAATACAAAATACTCTCCACAACGATGGTCATCAACCCAGAAATGCAAAGTGGAGAACAAGGTTGTAAACCCAAAGCAGATCAGCGGTATTTTGACCTTCCCCTGGCCGTTCCAAAACAAGCCAGTAGGAATATGTAGGAATAATGCTCAAGTAGGAGTCAGGCCATAAAATGCACAGCAGTGCATTTTTCACAACCTCGTACTCGACACATGGTAGAAATGCCGTCAGATGCGAGATTCCAAACACGATGTAGATTTAAAAGTAGCGTATCCATTTTTAGCAATGTCTGACTGCGCAAATGCGCAAAGCCCCGGTAAATACTCGGAAATGTCAGCATCCGCTGTTCAAATACGAGTCTGTCAGACGATCTCCTGTTCACTTCTGTTTCGCCAGTGGATGGAGAAACGAGAGCCAAACCTCTCCATCTTTTCTCTTCCACCCCGTCGATATCCAAAAATGGAAATATGGTCTTGCTGACTCAGAGTCATGTGATTTCGCGATGCTAGCGCGCGTCACCCGTCGTGTTGCTGCAGGAGGAATAAGCCGCCGTAAAAAGGATCTCCTCAGAGTGAAGAAAGAAGTCCGTGCAAAAGGGTCTCGACATGCCTCCGTCTCGCAGCATCGCGGACTTCTTCAATCGTCCCAGTTTCCCAATAGCCAATCCAGAAAGTCCTACTGACAATGACCGACCACGAAGGAGCATCGACTCCCCCACTACCTCTCCACTGACAGAGCCGCCATCGTCATCACTTCCAAATCATGCCTCCCCGCCGTCGTTCAATTTACCTACATCTCGAGAAGACAAGCCGCGCATGAAGGAGGAGGGTGAGAGGCCACCGCAGCCAAGCTTCCAAAGCGCCGATTCTACTGTCGCGGACATTCCAACCCGGCGCATGATCAATGGAAAAGAAGTCGTCATTAGCTCGGATGGAGAAGATACGGACTCTATTGCGTCGCTGGAATCTCCGGAGGAGCTTTTTGCCCAGCTTGGGTCTGGGCCCAAGGACGCTGCGGGCAAGAAATCCGGTGAAATACGGGAGACGCGGTTGTCAATAAATGATGTGCAGCCGTCCAGACTCAATGCGAAAAGTTTCTCGGCTCCCAAATACAAGAATACGCTAGATGCTTTGGTTATAGATGCAGTCGACGACAACGAGACAGAGGCAAGCATCGCGAAAATAAGGGCTACTATCAAGCTGGAAGAGGAGAGTACAGCTGCGACAGGCTCCGATGGGCAAGACAAACAACTACATGAGAGTATGCTGACATCAGCTCTGGGTGATAAAGACGATGAGCTGGGGTTGCAGCGTCTACTCGAAGCAGTTCGGAGGACAGAAGCTTTTGATCACGAAAAAGCTTGGTCAATCTTCAGTAATAAGGAGGCGCCACCCCCTGCTCCGGAATTCCCTCGAGATTCTGTAGCGCCAGGGACATATATGGCGGTGTTGCGAGGTTCGTGTTCTGTCGACGTTTATCGGCATTTGTCTAGTTGGCTCTAACTAGCTTGCAGAGCCCGGTTCGCGTGAACGTGCGTTTCATTCCGGCATTGTGGACTTTGCTTTGTCAAAACAGCTTTTACCGGACGAGCTGGTCAAGTGGATTTTCCATTCGGGTACGTTGCAGAACGCCCGTTCCCGTTTAAGTTTGATACTTACTGTTCTTTTTTTAGTACCCGCTGAACCCCGGGACGAACTGAGACAAGTTTATTGTAGGATGTTCAAGGTTGGTTCTAAATCGCTCACACGTTTCAGAGTTATTAATCGTTAACGGATTTTGGTCAGCATGCTACTGCTGAACGAGTCAGGTCCCTTGTACGTCCAAGCGACATTGATCTGCTTTTTCGACGATTGGGCGCGACTCCCAAAGCATTGGCACTAAGAGAACCAGTTTCACCAGATCCACGTAAGGCTCAACGCTCTAATGTTTGGTTATCACAACTAATTCAAGGCAGCAGAGTCAGCGCCAAACACATCGCTTAGCAACCACAAGCCTTTGCTTTCGGTCCTGGAGCTGCTTCGGGGTGCAGCAGACCTGTAAGTTCCGTGTCCGCGTGTCCACAAGTTCCATAGTCCTGATTTCCCATAGGTTCGCCGATGATACCCGGGAACGGATACTGATGATCCTATTCCGCTTAACGATTGATATCTCGTTGATGAAAGATACCATTGTCTGTTCAGAAGTTGAAAGGGCTATTACAACAGTACTGAAAGCGATACCCGAAGACGGCACTGATGATACAGTAAGTTATCCTAAAGCAGTCATGGGCCCTCTATCCTAATGAACGGTGGTCAGATAAATCGTATCTGCACATTCCTTTATGACACTATCAAAGACCCCGCATTCCAGAGCCGTCTTCTCAAACACACGCTCCCAGCATCAAGCTGGATATCATTACTACGCTGTCGTCTCGCTGTCGCCTACCTAACGCACGACGAAGCCCCCCTAACCGAACCCCCCGAAACTGTCCTTGACCTAAAACGCATGACTCAAGTCCTTAGAAACCGCCGCTTCGACGTGAAACTCCACAAAGGCAAAGGGACCGCCGAATACGACTATGGCGAACTTGGCTCCATCATTATCCTTCTCAACATCGCCATTGATCCTGGTTGGGCTGTGTTAGGATTCCCGAGCAAAGAGGCAGAAAATGCGTTCAATGCTGAAATTGATGCACTCGCGGACCGGCTCAAGAAGATCTTCACTTCGATTGAGGACTCGGGTGTCTCACATCTTAAACGGACGCTCGCCAAGGAAGGGCTCGAGGCCTTGCATTACCGTGTCTTGTATTCAGTACGGTCGAAGCCGCAGCCCAGGAAGGTGGGATTTCAAGTTGAATTGAACGAGAATAAAAGTAATAAGATAACGAAATACACGAGGCGGGTGCCAAAGGAGAAGCCAGAAGCGTCCGTCATGGACGAGAAAAAGTTTTCATGATGGGCTTGCATTCGCTATGGGTTATTACGGTTTATGCGGAACAATCCTACTGGGCTGACAACGCTGGGTTGTCAGCTGTCAATGCTCCAGATTCATAGCACGGCTCCAACAGTTACAGCTGCTTCAAGTCTTAGCAGCTGAGACACCGTTTGCCAGACGGAGTATATCGCTTTACTATAACGCTTAGAATAACGACTAATGATCGATGACAATGCAGCTACTGTATCAATAGAACTGTGGCAGCGCTGAATATAGACGATGACTAGTTATCTGTATACAATCCATGCCTCTAGGAGGAAACTAGAACGCCAGGTAAATTGAAAACATACGCAAACGGTATCACAAACACGCACGGGTTAGCTTCCTAATCAGTAAATTTCCGGTTCTCGTTCTTGCCAAAGAGAATCTCTCTGACGGCAGGGAGGGCGTCAATCTCGAGCAACCGCAGTCGCTCTTCGAAGGTGTTGACAATCTCGATCTTGCCCTGGCCTCCGATGATGGAAACACCACCGGCACTATCTTAGTTAGAAAATGAACGAGCACCTTTAGAGTGGAGAACTTACGATCCATCTGGCAGCGACTCTTCCTCATCCAACTCAACCACAGTATTCTTCCCAACGGTCTTCTTAAACTCCGCAGTAGCCTCCTCAATAGCCTTCTTGACAGAATCATAATCCTTCTTCCGTGCGCGGACGCTAACATTGTCCTCGTTCAACGTATACAATCCCTCGAGGACCAGCCCCTTAAGCACCTCCTCGTACTTCTTCGCATCCCCGCCCGCAATACCAGTAACTTTCTCCCTCGCCTGCTGGAACAGATCATCTAGCAGCTCCTGGCGACCCGACAGCACACGGAGACGGGTACGATTCGCGAGCGTCGAGCGCGTGATCTGCTGGGACATGGCGGCCTGCTTGAACTTCTTCTCGTAGAGGGTGTCGATGGCGGCGGTTTCTTGGCGGACTAGCTTGGACTTTTCGATGGCGAACTCCTCGTCGGCTTTGAGGTTGATTTCACGGGCTTTTTCCAGGGCTTCTTGGTGGATGAAGGCGGTCATCTTGCGGAGCTCACCCGCGACCTGTTATGCCCATGGCTATCAATACTATGGTTCCGAGGGTGGGAGAGGGAGGGCGTGGCCTACCTGGTCGTCGGAGAGGGCATGTTGCGACATTTTGGCGGTTGGGATTGGAGAATTCAAGTTTTGAAGAATAGGGATTGGAATCGATATCGAATGGGAGACCTCAGACTCCCGATGCGGAATGCTGCTGGGGAGGTGATAAGGTCAGTCGTTGCGGTCACAGTGGCATCAACAGGAATAGCGAGAAAATGCTCAAATGGATAGTAGCTAGAAGGTATCTTTCACTTACATGCCTCACGAAGCTATCTTCCTGTTGTTATTGTTGCTGCTGTAGCTGTAATAGTGTTGAGTCGGAGGTCTGTAGTGACGAGTGATGGGTGAAGTGGTGGATCGGCTGACTGTCTAACTAAGCCTCAGGAACGGCGTTCCCGCATGAAGTCACCGTCCACCTCTTACTTATCGCTCTTTGTTTCAAAACTTCCCTCGTTCATCCATCCCATCATTTATATTTGTCCTGACGATGGCGTCTATTTATCGATAATCATCCTGCCTCTTCCTTTGGCGATTGCATTACTATACGGTCCTGCGCCTTTCTCCAATGCCTGCGATTACTTCGTGATGGGGAAGCTCGGTGACTTGTCTCCCCAAGGGAGTGTCGCGGTTTGTGTTATCATTATTCTCTGATATGAGCCTCAGCTGACAATTGCAGGTCGGAGTGTTGGTCGGGTTGATCTCGACCAGTGTCCAGGCTATCGGTCTAACCCTTCAGCGCAAGTCGCATATCCTCGAAGACGAAAAGGATCCGTACGAAATACGCCGACCTCCGTACAAGCGTCGAAGATGGCAGGTACGCTCCCTAGAAATGCGACTATATACCGTACATTCTGACGATTACAGCTGGGCATGCTGATGTTCGTTGTATCGAATATCGTCGGGAGTACGATCCAAATCACCACCCTTCCGCTCCCGGTTCTCTCGACTCTTCAAGCCGTTAGTATAACGACCCCCTTCTCCTCATTTTTCCTCTGCTAATACCCCGTCGCACGATAGTCCGGTCTCGTTTTTAATACCATTTTCGCTACCGTGATACTCGGTGAAGCATTTACCAGATTCTCCTTACTCGGTACGATCCTGGTCTGCGTCGGCGCGATACTGATCGCCACGTTTGGCGCAATTGGGGAGCCACCGCATACGTTGGATCAGTTATTACTACTCTTGCAGCGCCGTCCGTTTATACTATGGGTCGTTGGAACCGTCATCCTCATGCTGGGGATCCTAGCGGGGTCTCGAATGCTGAGGCTTCTCTCCTCTTCACCTCGTTGGAGGCATTCGAGTGCACGGCATCTACAGGTGGTCCATAGTCGCATCCGGCTCGTACGGGGAATGTGTTTTGGTCTGGTTAGTGGAATTTTGTCGGCCCACACCCTGCTTCTGGCCAAGTCGGCTGTTGAGCTGCTAGTCCGCACTATCGTATACCGCACAAACCAGTTCAACCGATGGCAATCATGGATAATTCTGATTAGCGTCATCGCTTTGGCCCTCTCCCAGCTGTTTTTCCTCCACCGCGGTCTGAAGCTTTGCAGTACCAGCGTGCTCTATCCTTTTGTGTTTTGCATTTACAACATCATTGCTATATTGGACGGTCTCATCTACTTTCGACAGGTGTCCGATTTGGGCGGACTCCGCGCGGGACTTATTGCTCTTGGTACCGTTATTCTGTTGAACGGAGTGCTTTGTCTTTCGTGGCGGTTAGAAGACATTGACAACCATGCTGCTGTTACCGTGGTTGGATCTTCGCAGACAGGCTTAGGGCCGGGAATGGCCGTCATGGAGGAGAATCATCTGCATGGGTTAGGATTGGATGGCGAGGAAGGCCAACCTGGCGAGCGCCAGCCGCTTCTACAGGCAGCTCCTCCGCAGCGCAGGTCTAGTCATCGACGAACGCCCAGTCTACCATCCTCATTTGCGCCTACGCAACATCGGAGCTCCACTCCCGGCTTGGATTCGGCTTCAATATGGGCAGAGCTCGACGACTCGGATTATCCGGAGTCGTCGAATTTCCGACCGTCACCTTTCTATCGTCCGACTAACACAATCCCAGCGCGACCACGAAGCAAAAGCGGTACTTATGCAACACTGCGAGACGGCGTGTTGCGCCGATCACAACGCTCGACTACCAACCCTCTCCTCAATTACCGAAACTGGGATCCACGCCGGATTCCCCCGTCCGTCCGCGAGAGCAAATCGCAGCAGAGATCACCTGCATCGGAGAGTGCAAGCTCGCCTCTAAAGTCGCAGTGGGAATCCAACGGTACCAACGTTGGCTACGGCACCCAAGATGCACGAAACGACCAGCTCTTCCGCGGGTCACAACAACCAACACCAGAACAACAACCTGATCCTAATAACGAACCCGCTCCTAGAGTCCGCTTCCTCGCTGGCTCGAGGAACCCTCTAACTAATGCCTGGAGAACCGGAGTTCGATTCCTTTCTCGCTGGTCCGGTCAGCAACAGCAAGCGGGGAATGACCGTGAACGCTCCCCGGATCTTGAGGGTCGCGGTCCTGCGCCGTCGTGAGTATCTTTTGGCGGTTTGCTTGGATGTTTAAATTTATTTATATAATTACATACCCTATTATAGATTATCAATACGAATACCCTTGGCTTGTACAGTATGGACGGAGTAGATAGATCGGGTTTCTAGTTTGGCTTGAATAAATTGATTTCTAGAGTGGATTTCAAGTGAATTAGCTACTTGCCAAATAGATTCCTGGTTTAGATATACTTCGAGGCCTGTTGATGGGATGTCACTGGTGAATGTCACCGAATATATAACCTCGACCACCCACTTTAAACCCCCATCAAACCAGACACCTTCATAACCACCTACCTAACCCTCCCATGGCTTTGTCTCTGGGCAAGTGGTACATTACTCTCATTCAAACAAATCCCAGAGCTCGTCTTGATTATCCAAGTCGAATATGTGAAACCACCAACCTATGAGAGCACCCTTCAAGTATCGTCGTGGCAGGGCTCTCATACGATTTATGGCTTTTAAAAAACTCACCGTGTCGACCGGATAAACCGAATATCCAATTTGGAGCGTACATCGCAACTTTTTTTTTCTGTGAAGAAATACCGTCCTTAAGTTGATTGTTCCCTGTATACATATTAACGATGGCTTCATAGTGGACGTGGTCTAAGTGCAAGCTATAGCCCCTACCAGATATGACAACAAGGACCGAGATGGAGAAGTGATCCTTCTCAAAGTACGAGCAAGACAAGATTCAAAAATGACTTGAGAATCAGTGTCAAGAAACGCAAGCTCGTTGTCCAAACGGCCTATGACAACAATGAGAGATCGAGAAAGTTTCTCTACTCGGAGCATATCTCCTGGAGTTCTTACAGGATGAGAACGCAGTACATTCTGGGACTATCGATTCCTTGGTCCATTGGGTTGCGGTTCTCCATCCATAAATTATTACTCAAGCTGGCGATCTCAATTGCTAAAACCAGAACCTCTACCACCCACCCTATGCCCAAGAAAATAGACTACATGGTTTGTCTTCGACTTCACTCCAAACACCTGTAGGGGCCCGTTGAGTCCTTGTCTAAGGGGCCAGATGAGCTGAGATTCGGCGTAACCACCGACGGTCACCTCAGAAACGTGCCGATATTTACTGGGCTGGAGGTCAAGAGGGAGTCCTGATAACTATACTAAGGGAGTCTTACAAGTTACTTCTGAACCGCCATCATCCATTGTTTCATGATCTCCAAGTAATCGGTAATGGAAACCGACCACTGCTACAGGAGAAGACCGTGGAAGACGTGCTGAAAAATAACAAGAGTGATACAGCGCATTGTTGCACATGAACTGACAGCAAACCAGAAAAACTCAATCAGACATTGTATCTTGCGCTGCAACAAGCCCCATTTGACCAAAGGTTAAGCGTATTTCACGCACAGGATCAAATTGGAGTAGTACAATGTATCCGACGGTTAGTTTAACGAGAATGATGCTCGGGCACAAAGCAGATGTTTCAAAAACATGTCTTTTGGTCGTTTTACGGCTTTCCATATTCTACCGCAGACGCCATAGACAAAGTGCCTGTAAGGCCATGGACATGCACTTTAATATGGTCAAGATGATGGCCTGGAAGAAGGAATGAGTCATATGATTGACAACCGGACAATGCATAAAGGCGAGCGGGAGACAGAATCTATTGATAAGACGGAGAATATGGGACAATTTACAGATGTTCGTCGGCTTTGATGTGAAGAGGGATGGTGGGATCTAGAGGGTGCTCCGTGACTATCTGTCCACGTACAGCAACAAGAGGTCGTCCAACATGGCCGGAGATACACAGTTATAACACCAGTGGTCGAAATCCATGGGGCCATACGTCAATATCTATTTCCGACGAACACGAGACGTAAGGAAACACACCATCAATGTATTCTCTACAAACGACGCTGGGCTAACAATCGGACCGAGCAGACTGAAGATTCTCCCTCACTTCCACTAAATTGAACTGAGTATAAGTGCTGCTATATTTATCAAGGTCTCGTGGGTTTTTCTGCGGTGACAGCAATCCTTGCTAATATGTAATGAGGTCTGGACATGGGTGATGTTTTTCGTACACCCCCGCCAATAAAATAGACCTTAGTCCTCTCCTGACCTTCCCGAGCTTACTGAGAAGAGGATATGTTGACCTCTCGTGTTCATATTTAATTCCGGCAAGACTGGGGACAGCTAGAAATTTTGGCACCATAACGTGGAGCTCAATCCAGTCCACCGGGACAAGGTTTGCGTTGATAGAACGTTCGTGTCCTACCGCTGGCTAGCAAAGCCAGTCAACAAGAGTGTAGGTTGCACAATCGTGTTCCAGTTCCAAAATGACTGTACGCTAAACGCCATGCCAGGGCTACTTCCGCCTTGGTTTTTACAAGAGAATTCCACCTCTGGAATATCCCAGCCTTCGTCGGCATAGAACTAAAGCAATGACAAGGGAGCTTCATGGAGGCAGAACTCCAGCTACACGTGTTTCTTTTTTACAAGACTGAGCCTGCTAGCCTAGAACTTGAAGCACAATATCTGATTGCTTGAAGTCAGTGTACAGTCCTCTCCTTCACAAACTGTTCTTTCTTGATATAAAACAGACTCTCCTCTACAGTCTTAGTACGATGGCGTACATGTGATCTGATTTCGACAACGCACAGGTGCTAGCGTTAGGGCTCACGTCCATGGGGAGTGCGGGGTGGCTAGATTATAAGTTCCCAGCGCCTTCGTGCTGTGCTAAATTAGTGCAAGTCCATCCACAATATCAAAAATGTGGGTATGCATACCAAGAGCGCAGGTAATATTCTGAATTTTGCAACCTGCTGTCCCGGATCGTTTCTTCGACGAAGTTTGCTGGCCGGTTTACAATAAACGACGCGACTGGTAACAGAAAACTACGATGGCCAAGCCACTTATGATGACCACGAACTTTGGCTATCCTTTGTCAATATATTACGCGCATGACATCGACGGGCTATCCGTCGTTGGAATGCCACACCCACAGCACAGACGGAAGTGAACAGAAATGACCGATGGCCGTATCGCGCCTCAGATGGGTATATCTGCATACATAAGTTTCCTGATACGTTTACAAGACGTCCCTTATTCCCACAAATAATGTTGCAAACGTATCGCAAAAGAAACAAAGCAGCCCATCAAGGTTAAGCCAATTGTTGGTTGTTGTTCTGAACTGCCAGGCATAATGGCATTGAGCTTCGAAGCTCCATACGGAGTAATTATATCCATGGTTTAATACTACTTGAGTATACTTTACAAAGCACGACTCCCTCAGTGCAGTGTGTGGCTTATTCTATCGTCAAGAAAGAGACATGTGAAAACATATCCCACGCCACGGAACCAGATCGTCACTCTTGGGACCAGGAGATTACATCCCCAAAGGATGTCAAACATGCATGGAAAGCTGAAGACAAATTTCTATTTCCCATACAAATCTTCTCAGTGACGAGCCTATACGTTGCTTTTGTTAGTCTGCATCAGCAAGTCTGGTTCCTGAGCCTGTTAAGCAAACGAGTACACTGAAATAACAACGAGACGGTCGTTCTTCAAAACGAAGAAACTTTGGCCAGATTCTTCCAAGATCGCGATACTCGAAATGTGGACTTCGAATATCAAACATTGGGCCTAGAAACAAATGCAACCAACACACTAGTTCTCAAAATTAGACATTTTGGTCAATCTCGACATGGCAAAATGAGCAATGACATTGTACAGTGCCAATAACATCCTCGTACTAGATGTGTTCCGAAGACGAAGACATCCAAGACTAGATGAATGGACCTACGGATACTGACATGATCAAATGAATATTAAGATCCAGTCCATTCAAATGACACCACTAACTACTAAACCCAATCAAATAAAGAGAAATGACCATTCCTTCATAGCCCTCTTGATCAATAAATCCTATCTACCACATTCCATTGACCGATGGTAGACAGACCAGGGCATAACACAACGCAGCATGTCAAATTGAGGTAAATAGCAGACAAGAACAAACAGCCTGAAAGTCAAGACAAAAGGAGACGGCAGTTTTGAAATAGGAGACAATAGAAACCACTTCGCCAGAGAATCAAGGAATGCACCAGAAACACCGCCACCTCCACCAGTCGTCTAGATGATTAGGAGATGTGAAGAACAGAATAGCAGACCAAATTAACCTCGGAGTCCAGATCCAGTCATTGCACCTGATCATGTAGAGTTACAGTGGATTGACCGTTTCTTGTTTTTTTTTTTTTTGTTTGTTTCTTTCTTTTGTGTCACTTTCATCAAAAGGCATCACACGTTCCAAAGCAGAGTATGTAAACGCCAGACTCATCGACGCCTTAACGAGGTTACAGGAAGAGACAATTGTCCATGCTGTTCTTCGATTTTGCATGTTTTCGTTTGCAGTCGAAAAGTAAACAGGGGAGATGCATTATATTTATAGGACCCGTTTTCATGCGATGATGCGTTGAACAACAGGATTGTCGGGTATCAAATGTCAAGGTGGAGAGAGAGAAGATAACGAGAGGGGGTGTAAATAAAGGGTAGATGCTGAAAGAAGGCAAAAACAACTGAACTCTGGACTCCTCAGCTACTAAAAACAAGACCATATGCAGGGAAAACAGAAAGAGGAGGTGCGTAGGAGCGTAGGTAAGAGTAGATAAGATTATGCGGTAGGCTGGTGCTGCGTGGGCATGCGACCACCGACAGACATGCCGGGGTACTGCCCACCCGCCTGCTGTTGCTGCTGGAGGTGGTTCTGGTAGTAGGCCATTTGCTGCTGTTGTTCGTTGGTCATGTAACCGGGATGCATTCCGGTAGGACGAGGGATGCTGGTCTGTTGGGCCGCGGCAGCATTGACATTAGTGTGGTTGACATCCTCGGGGGTCTCCGCTGGGACCTCGGGGGCGTCGACGCCATTCTCGCTGGTGGTAGGGTCGGGGGCGTTGAGGCAAGCCTGGACAAAGAATATAAGTCAGGACACAATGAATTGCAATGTAGAAACAAAGTACTCACCTGAATAAGGTTCTTGCCCTCCGCCTTGGTGACCAATGGTTGGAGCTTAGGGGTGGTAAAGGTATAGACAAGGCCGGTCTCGGACACGACCAGCAACAGCACCTGAGTGCCTGTGAGGACGGACAATTCGTACGCCTGCAATAATTAGCATCAATCAAAAGAACAGTAGACAATGAAATAAAAAGAAACGCGATGGTAGACGACATACCTTCTTCATGATACCCGCCTTCCGCTTGGAGAAGGTGATGTGGCGACGCGACTTATCCTGAATGAACTTGATCTCAATCTTTCTGCGCTCGCGACCCTGCTTCTCCTCATCCTCTTCATCGTCGCTCATACGACGCTTGGGAGTGCGGTTATCAGGAGCGCCATTACCGGCCGCGGCCTGCTGCAGCTCATCCTGAGTAGGAGAAGGGTTCTCCTCACCGACGGCAGTGATGTCGGCCATGATAGCGATTAACCGAAAACGAAAGAGAGAAAAAAAAAGAGGTTTGAAGGGGAGGGAAGAGGTAAAAAGGGTGTATCAGTTGATAATATCGAACAAGCACAGTGGTTAATGGACGAAACAGGAAGTGCCTAAAGAGGAATGATGCTTTGGAGGAAATGACCAAATCGAGTAACGCGTTTTGCTTCGCAGGGTTTGGGTTCAGAACGAGAAAAAAGAGGGAAAAAACGGGAGGAGTTCGAAGAGGGCATGGTGGCTCTTGCCTTGGGAAGGCGGTGTGTCACGTGTATCACGTGTCGTCACGGGCGGGGCGTTACGCGTGTACTGTATTGTACGGATCATAGACCATGATCTACAGAGAATCATACAAGTAGTACATAGTTTTACCTGCGCTGTTCTGTACAAATATAGTAATGTGTACTCCGTACTCTGTACACTCTGGCATATTCTATATTTGTTATCTGGATTCTGGACAGGCAGTAATCAGGAATACTCGATGCGGCAAACATACATACAATACCATACCGCATTCAGCTGCGGGGACAAGAAATCGCCCCTGATTGGCCGGAATAGTGGGACAATCCGGCACATGACAAACCTGTCCAAGGATGGGAATAGAATCATCATCATCATGAGGTTATCCTCTCAATGAGGTAAACTCCATAGAAGGAATACTAGTTCTATGTAGGAGTCGAAGGAATTGGGAGGCGGTATGGAACTACCCATTTCAACAGGACAAGAGGAAAGCACTTCGAAGGATCTCGATTCAGTAATCCTCGTTGAACCGGGTTCTCTACTCCGTTGCAACTCTTGAGTTCACCTTGTACAGAGTAGTACTTGGTCGATACTGTTGAACCATTGATTTTAGACTTGATCGTAATATTTTGCATAAGAAATCTAAACGCTATTCTCCAGAAAAAGAAAAAGAAAATTAGGAAGAGACCATCCCGGTCCAAAGCGTCTATTCTTACAAATGCGTACATAGTAATGGGCTTCGTCAAAGCAACAAGCAAAAGCCAGACAACAGGAAGAAAAGCAATGACTCGAAAAGTGAAGGATCGATCATGATACTCAATTAAAGCAAAGTGCGACGTGAACAACAATATAAAACCACACCTGTTTCCGATCATCAACTGCGCCATTTCGGACTCCGCCAATGCAACGCCGAATTAAATCAACAATCAAGAAGTTGCATGCCAAGCAAATCAGTTCTCGGAAAAGATAGAACCACATCCATGCACCAGCATCTGTAATATCTCTGTTTTCGCCTCTTTCGGGCCCGGTGGTGGCGGTGGTGGTGGTGTGAATCGACGGCTGAAATTCATAAGAGAATGTTGGAAAGGAAAACGTAAAAGGAGTATAAAAAAGTAATAGTAGAAGGCAAACAAAAAAAAGAAAAAAAAAAAAAAAAGAAATCATGTGCAAGAATGAATAAGTAAAAGAAAGGAAAGTTTTCACATATGTCCAAGGACCAGCCTCAGTATCAGAGCCCTTTTCTAATTCGTCAAGCTGTTATACTTAAGGAGCCTTGAGATATCCACCGACACCAACACCAGCACCGCCGCCACCCTTGGGGCCGAGCCAGACAACTTCAATTACGCTGTGGCCTTCATCCTCCTCACGCACATACCACTGGTGCACGTTGTCTCCGACAACAAACGCTTCCTTGAGCAACCACCGATCCTTGGTGACACCCTCCTGGTCCTTAGGACGGAGAGGACCAAGACGAGATTCGTAACCACGGGGGTCTTCTTCCCACGTCTTCTCGGTGTGGTCGAAGTTGATCGCATCGTCAGGGGTGTATTCGTCGTAGGTGTACTTCACAAGAGAGTAACCGTTGGTCATGACCCAGAACTGGCGAATCGAGCCACCGGTAGCCTCGTTGATGTATTCTTCCTGGTCAAAAACCCAGCGGCGGAGGACCGACTTGCGACCAGCAGCAGCCGAAACGGTGACCATCTTGACCACGTCTTTGGTGTACCAACTGTTCCAATGGTGCATGGATTCAATCTTGCGACCGGACTCGTACACACCGTCGACTTCGCCCTTCATGTCCATCTGGAACAAAGAGGGCCAGAGAGTAAGAGGGGTTTCTCCGAAGCGCTGAATGCACTGACCGAGCTTCTGGTCACCGGGTTGCTCACCCCAGGACTGGCACTCATCATAGTAGGTCTCGAGAACATCGAGCAATGGCTTTGAGACAAAGGCACCGGCACCACCGAAAGCAATGTGACCGAAGGTGTCAACCTGCCAGCTGGCCTCGGAGAGCGTACCAATGTAGTGCTTCTTGTTCACATCAAAGAGTTTCAATTCTTCAGCAATGGTGGGGAGAGACAGGAAGAAGGTGTCATCATCCATAAAACCAAGCCACTGGACCTGAGGACGCTCCGTGCGGATGATGTTGGCGAATGCTTCGACCATACCAAAGTAACGAGCAGTGAAGTCCAGGGGGGACTGAATCAAGCGCACATCCAAGCCACGGTTGCGGAAGTAGGTCTCCTGCTTGGGAATGTCATCGTCGCTCTCGGGAACGAGAACGACCAGACCAGCCTTGGTGCCTCCATAGGAGTAGAGCAGAGAAGGAAGGAGACGGTCCAGACGGTCAGCCGTGGTGGCCAAGCCAAACAGCATCTTCGAAGTCTCATCCATAGTGTCATCAGCAGCCACATCGACGTCGATCACCGATGGACAAGGCAGCGAAGGATCCTCGTTTTCTTGCGCAACGATAGTACCTCGTTCCAAGACAGACATGGGCGGCATGACCGGCTGCTCGATGCTCTCCAGCGAGCGGAACTCGGTTCTGGGGTTCACATGCTGAGGACGGAAGTACATGCGGGTGTAGTTCTTGCGCTGAAGCCATTCGGTGAAGGGCATGGACGGGGGACCAGCCGGTTCGAACCCGCAGGCCTTGGAAGAGGACGAGGACGAGGAAGAGGGGGGAGGAGTTTCAGACTGTTGCAATTGAATCTGAGGCGCGGTAGGAGGTGGTGTTGACACGCGATCCACGGGGTGTCTGAAACGAACGAAGGCAGTGCGATCAAACCGCTCCATGGCCCAGAAGAAGAACCCAATGGAGAAGAGGGCCACGAGGGGGAAGATGGTTTTCAGTCGCAACATCGGCATTTTGGCGGATGAATTAGGACGTAGAAAACTTTTCAGCATAGAAAAGAAAATAAATCAAGATAATTATAGGTCGTTGGATAGAATCAATAACACATCAAGATCAGCTGTCGTAGTCGCACAGCCGGTTCACCGAAACGAACGGATGTCAGAAGGGAGGAGAGGCAGTCGTTTATATGAAAGAGTGGATGGGCAAATTCAGCAGTATTGGAATTTGCCGATTCGAGCGAGCGTCAACGAGAGACTGATAAAAAGTGCTCGGACCGTGTCGCAGGTCCTGGACCAGACAGAACCGATCCAAAAAAGGTCACAATTGGAACTAGGAGCCCAGGGCTACTGACAAAGGAGTAGACGGAGGGGAGGAGAGGGATGAGCGAGGAGACGAGATGGCTTGAGAAGATGAGCCCGAAGAAGAGTGAGAAAAAAGGAAGAGGATGCAGTGAAGGAGGGAGAAAAAGAGAAGAAGAAGGAAACAAGAACAGGAGAACAAAATGAGAACAGAAGAAGAAACGATCCCAAGTGGGAATACCGAATAATGGACCACGGGTTGCGCTGGGGCCGTGTAATTACGGTACCACACTGTAGCATCGGCCGCAACAATGACCGTTTATGAGTCTTGGAATCGCTACGGTGATAGTGATTGTAGTAAATATAGAGATTTATGAATTCATCTCGTTGAATTCATCTCAACAAGCATGATGCTATTATCAGTTCTGATAGATTCATCAATATCTGCACATAGTAGAAATCGTTCTGTAATACAGCGTAATTTGCAAGTGTAAATTACCCCAGGTATATACGCAAGACCCTATCCCCGTATGGAGCGTAATACAAATCTGGCATCTGGTGGTGGCGTGCTATCTATATCGCCGTTTGCCTCTGGCCATTGGCCACTTCGGTACAGAAGAGTATGTACTCTGGAATTTTTGAGAGAGTAAGGAGTACTACTCTGTACGGAGTACAGAGTACAGAGTACAATGGATGATTATCCTACTCTAACCTCGGATGCGATGTTCGATTCAGATACACTTGCTGATCCCGGTACCAACCACCCTATCCAACCCTACGGAGTAACTATCATAGGGCACCACACTAACGAGAGGGAACTCGGAAATGACAGTTGGTCCCTATGAACTCTTCTCCAGCCCTCATTTTTGTTTCCGCGTTGCTTCCGGATTCCTGGAATATACAGTGGCCACCTGGCCTCTCTCGTCATTCCTATTCCGGATATCTTCCCCATACTATGAACACAGTCTGCCTTTTATATTTCCGCTGCGTCCCATAGGTTGTTGTGTATTTTCGAGAGCCTTCTATATACTACCTACTTATCAGCCGTGTTTGTCCTCCTTCCTATCCAATACTGTCACCTCTGGAGTACAATCCAATGCAACGCTTTGTTGTCGTTGTTGTACTCTTGTAACAATCGGTAATTTGCGGTATTGGTAAAGCGAAGAAAAAGCAAATGAAAAAAGACCCCTGAGATCGGCGCTACCGCCCGTCTGCTCCACCACTCACAGACCGCCTTTCCCGCGAGGGTTCCACGGGCCGCGTGTCCTCTGCACACGTTATCAGCACTACGGAGGATTGTGAGCACAGTACTCTGTACTCTAAGTACGTTGTAGTACAAGGTAGGAGAGATACAAGGTAGAGCGATAGAGTACAAAGTACTACAAGTAAGAATATTTTCGGTTGGTACTCGTTTATCCGTCATTATCCTACAGACTACTGTGTAGATGCAGCAAATAAACCTCAAACATGACACTTACCAGGGCTACGCGTCAAATGCTGTGCAACAGAACAAGAACTGTTCCAGCAGCACGGCACATCCAATCAGCCCAATCACAGCCCACAGAGCAGAGATCCTTATTTATCCTGGTGCCTTGGCATTTACAATACATACAATATGCAATACCCATGCAAATGTCGTCAGAGCAGCGGCTGCTTGCGTTGGCGGAACATTCGCGGCCCCTACCCTGTTGGTCCGAGAGTGGCTGCGCTGCGTTAATGGCTCATCAAACAACCGATTAAGCTCGAATCCGGCTCTTGGCTAGCTGTCAGTGTACTACTACGTACACGATTACAAGTACACTGCACACAGCAAGTGTACGTATGTATGCCCCTGATCTGCATCCGTTGCGCTGAATCCGGAATAGTTTCAGCCAGGGTCTGTCCATTCTCGCCCAATCGGGCAAATCTCTAGCAGTTTCCGACTTCCAGAACTTTGCCGATCTGGACCCTGAACGTAAGGGTCGAGTACGAGTCTTTTGTACTTGTGTACGATTACTGTACGGTGGTCAGGGCAAACTTACCCATCAGCCCTGGTCAATCCACTCCGGCAGATTGATATGGCCCGTCCGCCGAGTCCGCTTTTTCCTAATTCGGAAATGTTCATAGACTGAGGTTTGTTCGTATGCTATAGTGCTAGCATAGTTTCGAGACTTTGCTCAGACCGAGCTACAGGACTGTCTCGCCTTGGATATACGAGTATAGTTTGCTAAGAAGTGGCCCCACTCCCAGGAATCCCTGGAATCCAGGTTTAACTCAACTGCAAGCCACTGCCACTCGACTACGTACTCTACAAACAATTTCATCACAATAAACAGACACACCGCGTCTGATCCAAATAAAATTCAGATGCATCGTCATCCATTGGACGATCTCCTCAAGTATACTCACTCCATTTCTAGGCATAGTGGGAATGTCTCAGAGCACAAGCACACAGATCTAGTGTACCCTATCCAGCCCCATAAAGGGTCTCATTATATCCAACAAGCACTGCGGGGTCCCCGCATAGTATAAATCTACTCTGTACATTGGCTCTATCGATGGACTACATATGAAACGTACAGAATACCCCGTACAAGCATAGATGCAAACACAAACACTGGAAATTAAGCTACGGATCACATTTATCCAAAACACAACCAGCCCACACTGGCCAAAGCTCCTACAGAAAGCCCTGCATGCTCATGCAGTACGGAGAATTTGTGCTTTGTATAACATGCCAATGTTGTCTGATATAGATTGGTAGATATCCCTACATCATCGGCATCTCAAGAGATCTAATCTGTAGGTTGTTTCAGGATGATAGATGTAGTTGTCATCGTACTTGGGGGTCCAGGATATCTCCACTTCTTCCGTTAACCTATATTCCGGAGTACGTTCGGACATCCGGAGACCCCGGGGATTCGAACTGTAGCCTGTAGGCAAGCCATCTGAGCATTGCGCTAGACGTTTGCTCGCTAATTGATAGTGTTTCTGCGCCTATATCCGACATACTCGGATAACCCAACCAGAGAATGGCATGATGCATTTAACCAGAACTGAGACGCAGGACCGTTTAATGTCCGAATCAAACTAACTTTCCCACATAGCCCGTCATTGAAGCTTCATCCTTCATCCTTCGCGTGTAGATGGCCGCGTACGATGCTTATATAGTTTCAGCGGTGTCTCGCCCAAATAACGGACATATTCTGCTGCCTGAGCCTACCATTCTAATACTTCGAATGAATGCAACAACTCGGATCTTCCCGATACATGTACCTGGATACTTTGATATTACACCCGTATGAAAATTACCCCAATACTGCGTTCCTGTAAATAAGCGCTCAGTCCTTTCGCAAAAATGACATCTTACGTGGACACCGCGGCGCAGTCCCGCTGCAGTGGCGAAAGAAGACGCACAATGACAGACTATAAAGGGAAACATGTCGTCATGCCATAAATAGTAGTCAGTGCGAGTCGAGTTGAACGACGGAATATTCCTGCGGGATGTTGTTTGGATGTATCAATTTTTATGCAAGGCACCCGATGTTTCCTTGCAGGTACGAGAATTTCTGTACAAAGAAAAATTGAGAATGAAAATAGGTTTATGATTATGAACTACGACTCTACTCGTCTTCAACGCCCTCGCGATCTTCAAACTTCATAAACTCTTCGTCAATCGCATCCTCTCCCTGGACGGTCTTCCACGCCTCCTTGACCATGTCGAGCAACGCATCATCAAACGTGTGATCGAGACTAGGCGGTGGGAAGCAAATGGTACCGTCAGTCGGAGAGCTTGACTTGAGAGCTTGGACGCCGTCAATCACATCGCTGGCCCGTCCAAGTTGTGTGTACCGCAGAGACCACAGGACTTTGGCTTCTGCATCACTCACCGACTCAAGGAGTTTCTGGACAGCTGTCTCGACAAGACTGTATCCTTGAGGTCCAGAAAGACGAACACTACCATAGACAACACCTGAGAAAGCAAGTTAGCCAGCTGTAACGAAATCAATTCGAAGTGAATGTCTCGAAGAGATGGCTCATGATCAGATTATAATTTTTCATCAAAGTGATTACAGACAATGTAGATAAGTTTTGATGTAAAGATATTCATCATATGAGCAATTAGGGTGGGGAGCTTCGTAGGTAACTTACTTTGTCCAGTAGGGCATTCCCCAGTTTCGCTCGAGTGGATCAAAAGATAGACCGGCGGAGAATCCTCTGCTTGAGCCAGACAGCTTCCCGGAAAGACTACAACGGCAGCAGCAGGAAGTGGGCCTCCTTCTGCTGTTATAGGAAACAAGCTTTCGAGAGATGACGAGACGACGGAAATGGATCGAGCTGCTTTTTCACAAGACGGCTGATCATTTCCCGCTTGCCCCGGAAGATCCCAGTGGGAACCGACCACAAACTTGGTCCGGATTGACTCGCCATTGGAAAGCTTGATCTGCATGCGCGCATCATCTCCATTGTCGGAATTTGAGGGATTCGTGATTGACTCGATGCCTGCATTCAAGACATACACGCCGCCCCCGACTGCAAGAGCCCGGCATCCGACTTGAGCGAGCTCGGCGCCACCTCCCCACTTGGCTAACAAACTTCCGAATCCAGGACCGAATACACCAATCGACGCCAAATGTCTTTTGATGCGGGGTACCGCGTACTCGGCCGACGTCTGCTGGGCGGACGCTTGAGATAGAGAGAGCGACAGCAAGGGATCATGGAGCTCCGCTGGCACCTGGAATTTGGAACCCAGATACTCTGAAAACGGCACTGACAAGTCCTCTTCCTCGGGTTGACCTTCGGTTTCCTGTGGAGGTTTGCCGATGTGACGAAGGAACTTCATCAAAGTCCGTTTCGACTTGGCAGAGATAAAGTCATCCGCAAAGATATCTTCGCGACTACTTGGGACACGGTACAAGTCGGAGTTCGCTTCAGATGGTCTGAAAATCCACCAGCTCCCGACAGCCTGAAATTCCAGCTGCCGGTAGACTCTGGAAGACAACAATGTCGGCAATAGTCGCGAGCGAGAGTAGATCAGATGTGGTGATAAGGAGAGGGTATACGCTCGAGAGGACGACAGCCGAGAATCCGAGGGCGAGTGCACTTCTGCATCTTCAAAAGGGGATTGCCCGGGCTCTAGCTTATTGACACCTGTCAGCCAATTGCTCCTTGTGAACTCTTGAAGCAGAAGGGAATCAAACACACCTTTGTTCACATTATCAGCCCATTCCTGAGCTTCCTGGAGGCTGAAGGCAGCCTCGGAACCTCCATAGTATGGGCGTTTGTCAATGTGAAGAACCTTTTTATCTGACCTGGAAAGGGCCCTGTTATACAGTTAATGATACAGTACGACAAGGGAGGTATTTCCAGGTCTACTCACAGCGCAAACAACGATTGACCCAGGCCAGTTCCAGAGATGGTCACATCCCATGGCGTTTCTGCCAGTGACTCCATCCTGGAAAGACTGTTGGTAATGCAGACAAAGCTGTCCAAAAAGTAAGTATGTCAATGTTCTAGCTATGATGCAGCCCAACTTTCATCACGTTGGGTGGCAAGCATTCGAACAGGACTTCCTGCCCATGGGTGCATGGAAGATCATCTGCGCGAGATTTTTTTGCAGAAGAAAAACACAAAAAGCCAACAGCTTTAGCAGAAATACGGCCCCGCAGCAGTGCGACACGTGACTTAGACTCGGCTGTTGAGCCCGCAACTCATTGAATTGATACCCTAGAAGAGCAGCTTCCGATTGTTTATCTAGACCTGGGGCATAGTTGTCCTGATATGAATATACTGACCAGCCATTGAGAATTACTCTTTGGTTATAGCTGTGTTAGTCGTCAGTGCCAGCAAAATGGCGATAACCACACCATACCAGATACGGTTAGACTGACATCGCAAACCACTTGAAAAGAATTTCTCCCACGGCAAACAGGAGTTTCTTCTTACCAACCACTCCCGGTGCTCTGCATGCTGCCTTTTAGCATTGCAGTTTCGCGCTTTTTTACAAGCCTTCACTGGTCTTGTTATACGGGAGTGGTAGATCAGATTAGTCACTCTGTATCTGCTGCTCTGGATTGGAAACACCTGATAGAAGCAGTTCGTTTTGTAGTGATACATTCTATCTATGCTATCTTCTATGTGCTTGGAGCGGCGGTTTTTGCTCTGCCCAGTATATTGAATCGTTGTAGCAAAACACGCGCCGGGTCCTGGCCTAGATTTATGTAAATGAGTTCCTCTGTCCTAGAAGCGAAGTTCCCTGCGGTTGGTATGGATGATGCGCTGCCAACCTAGGCTGGAATAAAGCCTCTTCGCCTGTAATCATAAGGGGTATCTAGCACGGCACTGCAAAGATTCTAGACATCTCGAGGCTGTTCTAATTGCCTCGGAAAACATGGTCTGATGCCGTTTTCATTCCTCTCCTTCCACAACCCTGGCCCGAATGATCTTGACCTCATCATCCGGCCTGTCTTCGGCATTCGTCTGGACAAGCCCCATGCGCTGGATCACCCTCATTCCACTCTTCACTCGGCCAAAGATCGTGTGCTTTCCGTCTAACCAAGGTGTCGGCGCAAGAGTGACAAAGAACTGACTACCGTTGGTGTTAGGTCCACTGTTCGCCATACTCAAGATTCCGGCCCCCGTATGCTTCAAGCCTTGTTGAATCTCGTCTTCGAATTTCTCGCCGTAGATCGAGCTTCCTCCTCTGCCGGTGCCGGTAGGATCGCCGGTTTGGACCATGAAGTTGGGGATAATGCGGTGGAAAATGACGTCGCTGTAGTAGCCTCTCTGCGCGAGCGTCGCAAAGTTCTTACATGTCTATTAAAGAACCTAATGTTAGCGCAATGCAGATTTGAGGGGTGAGCAGCTTGCTGACCTTGGGCGCATGCTCGTTGTAAAGCTCTACCGTAAAGGAGCCCTGCAACTTGTTAGTATTCGATTCAAACACAGACCCAATCAGAAAGTGTTACCATGCTCGTATCAAAAGCTACATCGGTCGCCATAATGAATAAATTCCACAAGGAGAGTAGCGTAGTCTTGTTGATGGTTGCGACAGGCCGCGTTGTCCAGACTCCGACAAGGCGGCGGGGAGAGAATTGGTCTTGGCATCTAGCTATGTTTTGCCTGACGAGCATCCTTACAACAGACACAAAAGTGACGCAAAACCTGCCACCATGGACTAAGGAGACTTTTCGCATATATTGAACCCATAAATACCGAATTTCTTCGAACCAACAGACGCCTTCGTATACAACGTCCCACGAGGTAATCGGAGTCGACATGGCCGACGAAGTGAGCCCCGTCGCGGAGTTACTGGGACAAGTCATCTACCAATTTACCGTTCTCAAGCCCTTCCTGCCCACATACGGACATCTTCTCGTTTCTGCTATCTTCCCGATATATATTGGTGCTCACGCATCGCTATCGAGACCAACATCCGCTGCGAAACCTCCCAAGAAGAAAGGAAAGAAGGGCGGGCGCGAAACGGACGACGAAGATGAAGAGGAAGGACAGGGATCAATGCCGAAGATGGAAGGCCTCCAACCATCAGATGCTCTGATGTTCCCGTTGACCGCTGGATTGACACTGGGTGGTTTGTATTTGGTGATAAAGTGGTTGGGAGACCCGGCTATTCTGAACAAGATCTTGAGCTTCTACTTCTCCCAGATGGGGCTATTTTTCGCCGTTGCGTTCCTCAAGGATAGTACTGTGGTGTTCCGGTCGTTTGTCTTTCCCAAAAAGTATCGCCAAGGGGGAAAGATTTGGAAAGCCGATCAGTCAAAGCGTGTTTTCACAGTTGATGACGGCTTGGAGACCGTTGAAGCTCGAAAGTCTCCTCTACCGGGCGTCCTTGGAAGCATCCCATTGCCCAATTTTCTACTAGCAACACTTTGGTTCTATCGTGATCTCGCATACCAACGGGTTAAGATTCGTACTCATGTGCGTGGCCTATTCGACGCAAAGGGTCGGTTGGGTTTGTCGGATCTTCTCAGTGCTATCGTGGGACTTTGTGCAGTTGGCTATTTTGCTTTCGTAACGAAACCTTGGTGGTTGACCAATTTCCTAGGGTTCAGCTTCTGCTACGGTGCCCTGCAGTTCATGTCACCGTCAACGTTTTGGACGGGTTCGCTCATTCTGGGCTCTTTGTTCTTCTACGACATCTACTTCGTCTTCTTCACACCGCTGATGGTCACTGTTGCGACAAAGTTGGACATCCCGATTAAGCTCCTGTTCCCTCGTCCTCCTGGTCCTAGCGAAGCCCCCGACACGACTTCTCTGGCGATGTTGGGATTGGGTGATATTGTCATTCCTGGCATGATGCTAGGATTGGCACTGCGTTTCGACCTTTATCTTTATTACAAACGAAAAGGCTTGCGAAAGATACAAGCAGAAGGTAAAGGCGAAGCTCTCATTAAGCCCCAATACCAAACTGCGACTGGAGGCTGGGGAGAGCGGTTCTGGACAGGAACAGTTAAGCCTAGGGGACCTGAGCTGGAGCCTCCGTATAACGATGCTCGGGCTTTCCCAAAGACGTACTTCAAGGCCAGCGTTATTGGCTACATCTCGGGAATGGTTACAACGCTTCTCGCCATGCAGTATTCCAAGCATGCTCAGCCAGCACTCTTGTACTTGGTCCCGGGTGTCCTAATATCTCTATGGGGAACTGCGTTCTTCAGACGAGAAATCAGCGATATGTGGGAATTCTCTGACGCGGAAGAGGAGGAGGAAGAGGACGAAAAAGAAGGAAAGAAAGAGAAGACTGGAAATGGCAAGGAGCAAAAGGATCAAAACAAAGAGAAGAACACCAAGAGTGTTTTCCTTCGACTTCTTTCCGGCGATGCCAGTGCACTTAAGCTTGAAACGCCCGAAAATAAATCCGACGAAAAAGAGAGCAGGGAGAAACGCGACAGTGGGGCCTCCAAGGAGGGTACCAAAGCACAAGGAAGTGACTCGACCAAGAAAGACGGCAAAAAAAAGAAGGATAAAAGCCACGACTTGAATCTGATTTCGTTTTCTATTTCACTTCCCCGAAAGTCCAAATCCGAGTCCAAGAGCAAGGCCAATGGCTCATCGTCAGAACATTCGGGGAGCGAGGATCAGGACAAGCCCATAAGGGTTCCTACTGTTACCCCTGAGCAAGACAGTGAACCTCCGGCAAAAAGACTACGGCGGAGCCCTAGGACGGCAGATGCAAGCGCGAATGCAACAGTGAGTTTGGTTGCTTAGGGATAGGGGTCAAAAAGATGGATGAATCTTTGTAACGAGTTAAAATGCAATCCCCCTTCATGGCATTAGAACAACGCAGATATCCGTATTGTATAATAAAATGAATGAAGTAAAATGCTATCATTACTTTTGTTTAATCATCCACGCATATAAATCATGTACAACACTCAACATTGCTCAAGAATAAGCTTCACCTCATCCCATCTCTGTGCAGAGACATCAACTACCTGTCTCAATTCTTTAGGCCCAACAGCCCAACCCCCATTCTTCTCCATCCTCAAAACAACCACTTTCCCATCCTTCTTATCAACAACAACACTAACCCGCTCTTGGCTCAACCCCTCCTCATACCCATCCGGATCCGCTAGAATCCACCTCCGCTGTAGCCCCTTCCGCTTAGCCTCATCAATCATCTCCTCCTCCTCAGCATCCGGAATAACAACCGCCCTCCACCCAGCCGCGGCATCAGCCTCAAACACCACAAACGAGCTCGCAACCGGCATACCACGTAGGGAGAGCTTCTTAGCCTCCGACACAGCCTCAGAGCACAGCACCATCTCATTATCCTCGTCCCACCAAGCCCGGGGTAACTTCGTATCGCGCAATGCCGCCACAACCGCCGCCCAAGCAGCGTCGAACGGATTACCAGCAAGAGAAATTATCATGATATCGATGTACAGGACCCAAAAGGCTTTGATCTCGCGGTTCTTGTGCTGCTGATCGTTTTGAGCCGCGTCAACGTCCATCTGCTCGCTCTCATTGCGACGCTCTAAATCCTCTGCCCCCAGATCCAGCGGCTGGTACCAGATTCGCAGGTCGTCTTCCCGGACCAAGCGTGAGCTGTGCAGCAGAGATAGGATCTGATGCGACAATCCCTGCGCCAGAGTGGACGGGGGTGCGCCGGGGAGGAAACCTGGTGCGCAGCCGGTACTCAGTGACAAATTGGGCACGAGCAAGTTGAAGTCCTGAATGTAAGACTCATCTTCCTGGTCGTCCTCAGAGCCATCCTCCTTGTTGTTCTGTGTTGCAACATCCGCGCTCTCCTGGGTCGGTTTCTGGTTCGTATCGGCCAACTTGCGCCGCTTCTTATTACTTTCCGGAGCCGCCGGCCTTGACACGCTCCACGAAGCGATATCATCCGTATGCAGAATCTCCGCTCTCACGCCGCAAACCGCTGCTGTATCGCCAACTCGCACAACCGCGCTACCATTCGTATGTGTCAAAGATCCCGCATTGGCCGAAGTCACCCGGAACTGTAACGGCGAGCGGCCATTGGCCCGAATCGAGGGCTGGTTGCTAGACGCGGGAGGAGAAAGGTGGGCGAGAAGGTAAGCATGGGGCTGGAGTCGGGCGAATTGCGATGGGGGCAGAGCGAGCGATGGTGGGATCGGTTGTTGTTGGGAGGCTGTGGTGGCCGCTGTTTGGGCCATTTTGGCTGGAATGGATTGACTAGAAGCGAGGTGTTCTGCGAGTTTAGATGAGCTTTTTATAAAATGGCGATGAGAGGAATGTCGTTTTACGGAAAAGATGCTCGTTGAAGCGGCAGAATATTTTCCTATCAAAGGCGGTGTGGGTCTGATGTTGAAGCTTTTTACGGATTACTGAATGGCACGTCTCGGACCCCTGTCAGTTTGATTCAGCCCCGATCATTACTCGGTTACGTGCTTCCGTCTCAATATCCCCGGTGCGATATTCCTGAAGTCTCTGTACTTGATTTATACGGAGTTCGCCGTAGTTTCGGAGCACTAAATGATTGCTTGTGAAGATCCTAATGTGCTGTTGGCTTAATCTGTTGAATTCTCCGTGAGTCCATCACAGTATCTAACATCTAATTCTCTTTATACGGAGTATGGAGTACTGCATTATACAAAACCATGGAGTATCCATACTCCCAATAGGTATCCGTGCAGAACAACCCGGGATTCCGGACATAGACATAAAAAGCCCCGGAAACAGAGGACAAAAAGGAAAAAGAAAAAAAGGACAAATGCCGAAGAAGCCCGTAAATTTAAATAAAGCCAGATAGGCAATTCAGACTGGTATCATATCAAAAGCAATCAAGTGACTGAATTGTTGTGTTGGCCGCCTCGCGAAGGATCATCGCTTCGCCTCGCCCTAAGAAAAGGGTCCGCCGATGGCTGTGATGCCGAGATTTCCACTATGATTGTAATGCAAAGCATGCATCAAAAATTTCCAGAAGTCGAATTATCGAGTGGTATATGCGTGCGGGGTTTAGCTTATTGGAGTTCGTGATCATGCAAAACGACCATAATCATCGCGGGATAGACCAAGCCTGCCGTATGGGATAGACGATAAGCACAACCCCTCATTGTCAGAGATGCGCCTCGATTCGGACAATACTGTTAAGGTTGCTGGTGGGGAACGACCACATGTCATAATAACCGGTAGTTGCCAATTTTGTCCCCTTTGACATTGGGTCGAATCCTGTACATCTATAATCCCACGGACGAATGTCTTCTTTTAGCAACTGCGGACTTCACAGCCAGCTCGTCGTATAACCGGTACGAGTGTCATATGTCGCAGGTTTGCAAATCCCATCCTTAGGAAAGTGACCTCCCTTTGTGTCGGGTCTGGTTGAGTTTTATTGACTCTGATGCATTTTTTGTCGCTCTCCCTGTCGCTCTAATTGTCCCCCTCACTTCGGTGCTTCGTCCCTCAGAGAACTTCTTATATTGCTCCATCATTCGTGAGATTTCCGTGAAGGTGTTACAAGTCCTTGCATTCTTATTGGTGAAGCGGCAGTCTCTTTCGGCAATTCCATCAACTAGGATAATTGTTTCTTCCCTTCCCTTTCTGTTCTTTGTCTATATTCCGGTAGGGAACACAGACATACCCCACCCTTGAGCGCAGCTAAATTCTCACAGAGTTTCTCAAAGGAAATATGAGTGACTCGGTCTCGATCAGCAGTTGGGAGCCCGAAACTCCGTCTTCAGGGCCATCATATTCGCAACGCCATCAAGCGATTAGCCCTTTGTCAAGCACTAGGGACAGGCGCTCTATTGATGGAAACACTTTATCAATGTTCAGATGTAACATGCCATGGGATGAATCTAGCGAAGACGAAAACCTTTGGAGCGATGCTGCCACAGCCGGAACAGTTCTATCCTTACTTCACAGAGAGCCTCTGAGCCCCCAACGAAATACCCGTAGACCCCTTTTCGACAGTACAGCCTCCGAAAGACAGCGCTCGAGATGTGTCCTCTGTTTCCAGGTCATGGATCGCCTCTCCTATCCAAGCCCACCATTGGCAGCAAACTGCAATCACAGTTCGATACCAGGGGTGCGAATGTGCAGGGTATGCTTGCAGCGATGCCTTGATATCCAATTCACGTCAAACGGGACAGAACCACTGTCATGTCCTCTGTGCCGCGCTCGGCTATCCCACGATGAGATTCGACAATGGGCTAATCCACAAACATTTCAAGCATACGACAATATGAAAACAAGAGAGGCGTTAGAAGACGACGGTGAATTCATAACATGTGTCCGACCAGGCTGCGGGAACGGTCAGTTGCATGGGGGTGGCCGTGAGAGTCCGATTGTCGTGTGCAGATCGTGTGGTACACGGATGTGTTTTGTCCATCGAGGTGCCCCATGGCATGAAGGATTCTCCTGCGAAGAGTATGACCGGCTCTTCGTATACACAGGTGATCAACGGAGGCCTGAGAATGATGCTTCGCAAAATGGATGTAGATGGCTGCGTAGACTAGGCGGATGGAGGGCATACAGAGCGGATGCTAGGCAACATACGACAGGGTCTGATATAAACCATTATGGTCCAATAAACTGGACGACGGAAGACTTGCGCAGTCAGCGGACGATTTGGCAGATTGCAAAGCCCTGTCCTCGGTGCAACGCCATCACTGAAAGAGAAGGAGGATGCAAATATATGCGATGTATGTGCAGAACCCTTTCGTCTGGGTCAATTTGCTAACTTGGTGACCAACAGGTGCTCTTTGCTGGCAAGAATGGTGTTGGGATTGTGGTAGGTTTTGGCAGGCGGGGCATCTCGAAATAAACTGCTCGCTGTATCGCACTTGATGAAGGTAGCGTGCGGTTCTCCGATAATTGTCGACGGCAATAGTACAAGAAAAAAGGGCGCATTAGTGGAACTGATTGGGAGTCTGTAATATAGTTAGCATTAATCCCGATACCTTGACCTACCTCGGAGGGTTGTTTTCTTATAAAATCGCATCTGGCTTTAGGATGGAGTACCCTGTATGGTGCTGTCTGTTGTAGCATGTCAAAGGGAGAAAGAGAATTGACACCAATTAATTTCTTAGATCAGGTGATCAACGCTAGAATCTAGTATTAATGTTCTAGGGAAATAGCCCTCCCAAGCCAATGACGTCCGATAGGTCATTCCGCTGGCTCGATCTTATTGGACGGGAATATCTCTGCTGTTCCATATAGGGACATTGCTATATTTATGCCTTAAGAGCCTGATCGATCAAGAATAATCTGTCACCATCCCGCTCCATTGTTCCTGTGCATTATAAATGTATCTTGCTGCGTATCAAATATACATAGTAAAGGAAGGCGAAAGGGTATCCTAATGAGCAAAACCGTAGACTTATATCAACGCCAAAACAAAGAAAACTGAAAGAATAGGATATCATCACAGTGGCTCCTCCTCAGCCTTCCTCTTCCTACTACCTCCCTCATCAACATCAAGAATTCTTGAATCCGTAAAAGGTCGGACTCCATGGTCTTGTTTCTCGTCTTCGTCTTCCGCCTCGACCTTCTCCCAATCCTCCTCGTCACCATCATAGGGACTTTCTTCTTTATTTTGCTCCTCGCCTCCATTTTTCAAACCGGAAATCCCTTCGTCATCCTCATCGTCGTCTTTCCATTGTAACGCAAGCTTGACGATTCTGGCGCCTGAGGGGTTGAGTCGTCGGTAGTACTTCTCTATCACACCATCCTCTACTTGAAATCCCCGGGCCATATACCATTTCAACCCTTCGTCGTTTGCTTCGTGTACATGAGCGGTGACGTAGCGGATATTGTAGTGTTTGACCAATCTCGACACCTGGTGACCTGCACCACCACCCTCTCCAGTTCTTGAAGCCGAACTATGCCCAGGTGGTGTAGCATATAGCAAAGCGTTGAGTAGGGATGCTGCGACACCATTCCCCCGGTATGGTGAAAGCAAATGTAGGGTCTGGATGTACAAATTCGTTGGCTCTTGTGTCAAATTTCCATGCAATTGGCTGATACGTAGGAGCTCTGCCGTTGTCTGAGGTAACCGCTCCAGTCGACATCTTATACCACCAATAACCTTATCAGCTCCGATATTCCTTGCGCTACCTGCAGCCGGACTAGCTTTCAGTGAAGGTGTCGATGTAGCGGATTCGGCGACGGGATGGTCATGGTAGATAGCGACGCGAGACAGCGAACTAATGACAGGATCCATGACAGTCGCGGTATAGAAGGAATTCGGATAGCGGATTGGAAGAAGCAGGCCGGTGATTCGGGTCAGTGAAGGAATATGTGCCGTGTTGACCGTCTCAATCGTGATATGGGGGTGGGGAGTTGGGTAGCCCGACGGGGTTGGGTATGGATACGGAGTGGGTTCGATGGCTGTATCCCCGTTGCTTGCTGGTGGCTTGGATGCTGGAACTGCCGACGGAGGCAGTGGTGGTGGTGGGTGAATCGGTGGTCGGTATCTGTCATTATAAGGGTTTTGGGTAGGAGGAGTGGTGGATGTCTGGTTTTTCGGCTGATGTGCCTTGGAAAAGAGTTGATATGCCATCCTAAAATGCAGCAAGCAACTGGATAGGGTACCTAGACAACTAAGGACAGGGAATACCGCCGTTGCCTGGCGAGAACGAAACGCGACGGCGTGAAGAGAAACCGCGGATATGCGATAAGATAAGATGGCCGGTCGGCGGAGGAGCCTTTAATGCGAAGACCAGCGACGCCGCCGTTGGGATCCGACCAACGCTGTAACAACCAGCCCGGTTGACGATAGAAAACGTACCAGAAGGAACACACCCAATCTATATATGCGATTTTGGACTTGCTGAATAGCGCGATCACGGGGTCTGTTCTTTGTGGTCATCCTGTGAGTCGCCTGATTACTACCATTCCGCTCAGGTCACTAACGCTCTCCCTTTCCAGCCACAGAGATCATTCACTCGAAAGAGCCACGCACCTGTCGTCCCGCGAATGCCCTAGTTATCTATTAAAACAAATGGGTCTCACCAGCTCCGATTGTGTCCCTGTTGTTTAAATCGCGATAGTCTTATTGTCCGCCCCGTTCGGATATCGTCCCTCCTTTCCCTCCGGCGTCGCCTTTTTCCTATGTTGCTTCCTCTACTACACACTGTCTATTACGGCCGTTCGCGCATATCCCTACATTTATAAATTGGTCGCGATATCTGTGGACAGAGGTTATATGGAATCGCATTGCTGAGTTACTGGTTAGCTCGGTTGCGCAAGGCTTTCGGAAGATTTGCGATAGGTACTCGTGATTGCTGTTTCAGGAAGGATCTCTGGGTAAGTGCTCAGTGAAAACCGACGTCGCGAGCTCATTCCGCTTTACGCACTGGTATGGCTCTTATAGTCTGGGCTGTCCGTTTTTCTTTGTCCTTCTACTCAGTGCTTGCGGGTCCAATGCCCCCAAGGATAGAACACGCCTCACCTTTGCTGTATATCTTTTCCATTTGTCATTCTGAACTAATATTTTCTATCCAAGATTTCTATTCCGAAATGGCCGAGTCAAATGGAACGGAAATGGGCAAGACCTATCCATCGGGAACAATCGCGAAGGTGGTATGTATTCAAGATTTCGTACATAGCCTAGATGCGTACTAATTGCGCTAGGCATATGATATTCTCAACGACACGTTCTACAACATAATCCATGATGTTGTGGCAAAAGTCCACCGCGATGAAAAGGTCGCCCGCATGCGCTCTGCAGTAGTGGTTGCCAGACAAAAAGCCGAGGAGGAAGCTGCAAAGAATCGTGAAGAAGTCGGTGTAAAAGCCTCTGGTTCAGTAAAGCCCTCTGGTCCTGACGCTGAGGAACAGTCCCTCAAGGAGGTTCGGGTGGAGACCGATGCAGCTGTCTTTGATAATGGAAAGACATATCTCAAAGGGAATCCCATGCAAACCATCAAGGAAATTATTTGTCCCGAATGCCGATTGCCTCGTCTGTTATACCCGGTGACCGGTGTTGGCGCTCGTGCTGTGCCTGATCCCGATAGAGAGTATTGCTCTCAGCAGCCACTGATCCGAAAACCGGGCCATGACGTGCACGGAAACCTATTCGCTACGGACAAAGTGAACTCAAAGAAGAAGAATAAGCACAACACGCCAACCTCGAGTCCGCCAGCTGATGGTCATGCAGCGCTTGAAGCACCCGGATTTCCGACAACTAAATGTCTCAATTGTCCTCGTTACTTTGTCGTGAGTCGTGTGCAGCAACATATGGATCGCTGCATGGGATACTCGGGCCGGAACGCCACTCGCAATAGAGGTTCAGGGGATACTGGCAGTGGCAGCACGCCTACTCCCACATCAGCGGCTCCCAAGCGGCCCCTGGCGGACGATGATGCAACACCTTCTACTACACTGACCAAGAAAAAGAAACTAAACGCTCCTAAAAAGCTTTCAAAACCTCCTGCGGCTAGCAGCAAATTGAAGAACGGTCTCACACCCGACGACCTAGCTGAGAACGGAGACGCTGACATCAAAAGTGAAGCCAATGGGGACGACTAATCCTTTATCCTCCTTCATTTTCTTTCTTTCACCCATACGTTTTCTTTTTTGACTTTATCTCACAGCAGCATGCGGGTGTCTGCAACAGAGCTTTGAACATAGGTTTCCTTCATTTTTTAACGACATTGACGTAAATACTCGGCATTACAGGCGTCAACACGGGCTTGCTCTGACACCTTTTTGAAGTTATGCCATGTCGAACATTATTGGGGCATTCTAGGCGTCGTTTCTTTTGTGACTTTATGGGTTCTGTGGCTTCTTTTTTATTTTTTTATTTTTATTTTTTGTTATACCTTTCTCTTTTGCATAGAATTACGCCTGTACAATAGTTGGCAGTGATGCTCGCATGATTCAGATCCATTTTTCTTCATTTACATTAATGAGATTCGGCCAAAATCATACTCATGAAACATAAAGTTGTGTTGTCCTGAGGCCAACATGCGGCCCGCAAAATCGCCGAAGCTGGAATGCGACTTCCATCGCCTCAGACCAGAACTTAACTTCCACAAGCAAACGGATTCACTGGTTGATTATGAGCTGATTATTCATTCTAAATACTACTATTCAATCTCCAATTATGAGTGCCGCAAATCTCGTCTCATGGGGCACCCCGCGTCTCGCGCAACTCCTCCCGCTGGACGGAGAAAGCCTCGGAGAGATCATCACGTACTCCGCTACCCTCTCGAAAGAAGAATGCGCAGAACACCTTAAAAACCTCTTGGGCGATTCACCTGGAGCTTTCGAATTCATCGCATCCTTCAACTCGCGCCGAGAAGCCCAACAACCATCAGTACCACGAAGCGGGGAATCCACGTCGCCGGCAGGGAACAGGAATGACTACGAGAGAGGTGGCGCAACGAAAAGAGGAGGTAAAAAGGGACGGGCACCGCTACACAGCACAGGTCCTCCGCGCAGACCAGAGAATTATGGCAATGTGACTGGGGGGTACAGGAAGGCTGACCAGGAGGATGATTATATGTCCATGGGACGTTCACGGAATAACAATGCAGGTGGTGATGCGGCGTCGTCATTGTCCGCTGAGCCAGCAGCTTCCCTACGTCCGTCGCCTCGTGAGTCTGCTGCTTCGTCGCGTAACCCGTCCCCCGTTCCGAAGAACAAAGCTCCGCCCTCTGCCTCCGGACCGGTGATCTCAGAACTCCTTCCGAATGTCAAGTCCAAGTCCGCTAAACCCTCTCGACAAGGTGGCTCTGCTACCGCTGGCTCTTTCAAGAATTCATTGACTACAAGCGATATTTCTGACCTAACAGCTGCTATTGCCGCTTTAGAGGTCTCCACAAACCCGTCGTTGAGTACAGAGCGAAGGAAATGCACCTGCTACGCCTCGATCCATCCATTGTTTGACCCGGCACCGAACTGCCTTAACTGCGGGAAGATAATATGTTCGTTGGAAGGTTTGCAGCCATGCTCGTTTTGCGGTACACCACTGCTGTCGAACGATGAAGTACAAAGCATCATCAAAGAACTACGAGCAGAACGGGGACAGGAAAAGATGCGGGTGCACAATGAAGGGGTCCAGCGTGAAGGTGGATCAGGGCCTGCACCTGGACCTGGGGGCTCTTCTGGTCAGCTTGACGCAGCCAAGGCGCATCGAGACCGACTCTTGAACTTCCAGGCACAGAATGCCCGTCGAACGCGCGTCGTGGACGAGGCAGCTGATTTCGAGACGCCCAATTTGGCATCAACGATCTGGATGAGCCCTGCCCAGCGGGCATTGGCCTTGAAAAAGCAACAACGAGTTCTACGCGAGATGGAAGAGAAGGCGCGACCAGAATGGGAGAAGAAGAAAACCATCATGAGTCTGGATATCAAGGGCGGTCGAGTGAGGAAAGTTTATCATGAGGCACCAGCTGATTCTGGCCCCTCGAAAGAGGAAGAGGAAGAAGCGAAAGCGGAGGAGATTCTGGCTGCTTCTGACGGACAGCAACGCACTAGGCAAGACGAGGCGTTCAGTCATAACCCTCTTCTTGCAGCTGGTGGGTTACTACGGCCTGTCTGGAAGAACAGCTCTGGAGATAAACCCGAGGCGCGTAAAGAGAAAAAGCCACAGACATGGCGACGTGTGCAGGATGACAAGGATGATAATGAACAATGGATACTTGATGGAGGCTTGCATGGGCATACAACTGATATATCGCCGGTACATTGTCAATCCCCATATGGATGAGTCGTCGTCATGTTTGCTTCTCGGCCGGATAATGCTACTATGAGCATGAGCGTCATCCCTCAGAGAGCCGTAGATGGCCAACAACACTGGGGGGGGGGTTGGTGTAGATTGCCGCATAACTTGGGAATTGCTAGCACTATCCTCGATTTCGGGTGCTATGAGACATGAGAAATGACCAAATGAATTAAACCGAAGGTATCCGTTATGAACCCGGAGTATTGCCGAACATTCCGTCGAGCCCATTGTAATATGCTCTGCTACATTCTCTAGCGGAGACATTCCATGTATTACCGCATGTACACTTTCATCATATATACATTCTACCCCACCGCGCAAGCTACACAAAAACACGAGCACGGCTGTTAGCTTTCTGACCAACTCTGCATATATTACTGGGTCAACCCAATAACCAATCCTCCATTCAGGTTAATGTTATATGATATAACCGTAGTTCTAACCGCCCCATTGAAAGAGCATATTGGGGTAAGTCCGCGTCTAACCGAGATAGGCCCTTGAGTATGGGACGAATGCTGCATACGACGGTATATAGACGGGCCATCTCACTTGGATTTCGCTTTTCTCAGGAGAAACTGTTAATATTTCTACTTGCCATTATTGATCTATCTTTTTTCTTCAGTATTCCCTCTGAGAAGAATTGCTGATTCACAAAGAGCCGGACTTGGTTGGCCTCGGTTTCCTTTTTTAGACATCTAGTTACATACAGGTCGTCATCATGCTGATCCAGTCAGTTCTGGAGAATCTATCCGTTTCGACGGGCATATGGGGACTTGGTGTTCTGTTAAGCGGAGTGGTAGGTTCCATCGCATCTTTATTGCAATAACAACTGACCATGGTAGACCATCATATATATCCTCTACAACCGATTCCTCAGTCCCCTCCGCCACATTCCCGGCCCACATCTCGCCTCAATCACACCTTGGGTCCAGCTATATCACGGCTACAAAGGAGACAGACACCTCTGGCTGCACAGCCTACATAAGCAATACGGTCCACATGTTCGCGTCGCGCCGAATTTCGTCTCCATAAACTCCGTACAGGGGCTACATGAAATTTACGGACACGGGAAGCGGTTGAAGAAAGCGGATTTCTATAACGCGTTTCCAGCTATCAAGGGCGTGTATAATACACATAATGCTATTGATAAGGTCGTGCATGGACGGAAGAGACGTGTATTGAGCCAAGCGTTTTCGGACCATGCGCTTAAGGGTATGGAGGATGTGATGCTCTTGCATGTGCGGCAGTTGTGCGCTGTTTTGTCTGGAGAGTTTCCAGATGCTAAGATTGATGGAGGGAAGAGTGTTATTTGCAATATGGGAGATCTGTTCTCGTATCTTACGTACGATGTCATGGGCGAGTTGTGTTTTGGCAAGAGTTTCGACATGTTGATCTCCAATACACGGAGACAAATGGTTGAGCTGGTGGACAGGGCTGCGCATCGACATTATGTGGTAAGTATTGACACATTTTCATCAGAAATATTTCATCTAACAACGACAGTGTGGATTATGGATGCCCCTGGACCGGTGGCACCTTGACCAAATCTTCATTCGTAAACTCACTCAAGACAGATGGAACTTCATCATGAAGTCCCGTGTTGAAGCCAACGAGCGCGCAAAAGAGCGTGCCAAGCTTGGCCGCGAGTCCAAGAAGGACTTTTTTTATTACCTCCTCAATGCCAAAGACCCCGAAACCGGCAAAGGCCTCACGACTCCAGAACTCTGGGGTGAAGCTAACGTCCTTATGATTGCTGGTAGTGATACAACCGCGACAACTCTGGCAGGCACGATATTTTATCTCGTTCGCAACAGGCATGCCATGGCACGACTGAAGCAGGAAGTACGGGAGAGTTTCAATTCGGTTGAAGAGATCATCAGCGGCCCTCGACTGAATGAACTGGTCTATCTGAAGGCTTGTATAGATGAAGCCATGCGTCTAACCCCAGCAGCACCTGGTGCTCTCCCCCGCGAGGCGATGGATGGCGGTGTCGTCGTGGATGGCATTTTCCTCCCCGAGGGCACAAATTGCGGCACGCCTATATACTCTATTCACCGACAAGCGCAGTACTACCGTGAGCCCGAGTCGTATATACCAGAGCGTTGGATTGAAGGAGCAGCATGCCTGACAGGTACAGCGTCATGGAAAACCAGTAGAGAAGAAGTTGAGCTAGCCCGACGCGCACTGTGTCCATTTAGTATCGGACCCCGTGGGTGCATCGCAAAGAGCATGGCGTTTATGGAGATGCGATTGACCATTGCACGGTTAGTATTCTTGTTTGATATGGAATTGGCGGATCGGTTTGGTGAAGATGAGGGAGGGCATTTGGCTCTGGTTGATCATTTTACGAGTTCGAAGGAGGGACCTAATGTGAGGGTTATGAGATGGCAGCCGTAGTATGCGTACTTACACATGATTCTGAACATGACCAGATTGAATGGTATCCACGAGCTATTTATATACTCTGAGTTAATGTCAAGACTGCATCATGGAGATGCCCTGAGATGCCGAACCCTTTCACTTTACCAACACCAAGATGATCTTTTTACAAATGAGCAAGATCCCGAAAGGGATCATTTCAAATACTCTGCCGAAGGCTCAGACACCACTAGCCGTTCAAACACATTCAGCCCTCTCTCATGCAATACAGCAATGTCATCGCAATCGCTGGTGCTACCCGAAACCTCAACGCCAACAGTACTACCAGAGCCGGAGCCATAGTCACAATCCCAGTCGGGGTCAGGATCAGAGGTAGAGACAGAGCCAAGCCAAAACTCAGATCCAAAGCTTGGTGAGAGCCAGTCCGACCACCCCTGGTTTTATTGCGGCGTTCCATGTTGCGGCGTTCCTCTCAAGAAACACAGGCGCAAACCTGACAGATTCTAGTGGATTATGATTATAATGTATACTGCAGGGCTTGTTATCATTCTAATCCTCTTGGTGTTTTATGCTAATCTTTAGTACTTATGGTACAACCGCAGCCGTTGGATCAAGCTGGTCGAAGCTGCTGCATATGCTGATATACCTAAAGTTCCATGACCATAATCCGTACTTGGTCTGGCGTCAGTGTTAGAATATCACTTTAGCTCAGCTTGTTTCAACTAGTAGCCTATTCTGGAGATACGCCTATTCTGTCTAGGAGAGATAGATGCCTAACAGGCGGTCGAGATGTCTATTTTACTAATTCCCTTGACTTCATTCTTCTCATCTCCAACAATTCACAAAACACACAAGCAAAATGATCTACTCAAGTAACCAGAGCAAACAAGATCCCAAATGGGGCGACTTCAATTACCCCCGATCCTGCCAAGGACACAGACGCTCCGCCCCCATACACACAAAGCCCTAGTCCTCATGCCGTTCAGCGTTGTCCCACGATTCAACACCCACAATAACATAAAAAATGACAGAGTCAGACACAGAATCAGTTATATTTCACCACCAGCTGCAGTCAAAGCCAGAAGGGTTGTGCTAGTGCTGCCACCTCTCCATGTGTTAATTCCAATGAATGATATACAAGGCCCAATATTATATCCATGTCCATACGCCTAGTTTCAATATTGGGGGTTATATGGTTACATGCATCTTGTCAGCAATGGAGTTGCTAACTGCTTACCGACACTGTTACTTCATGTCTTGCTCAGGCACGATATGCTCCGGAGATGGGATGGTTTCAATAAACAAGCTGAAGTTCACTCTTAATATATATATATACGCTTGGGCTATAATACAGTGTCAGAGACAACAGCCTATTCGAGTCCTGTTTGATTCCCACCTATACTGATATCTAGCTGTACAAAGTAGAAAGATCAAGTCTACGTATTTACTCGATCGATTCCATCTCTGCGCAAGTCAGGTGATCGAACTTACTATTTTGAGACAATTTATCAGAACAGGACGGGCAATACCCTAAATAGGGTGATCAAAATTACACATTCGAACCCGAGGAACTTGAGGATTCAGACATTCTATACACACCACGCCCCCCTTCCTCAGTCTCAATCTCATACCCATTGCCTCCACTCTCGTCGAGTTACCACATATAAAGGCTGGTCCTGATACCTTTGTCTATCGATTTATAGGTTCTTTCTCTTCCAGCTCCATCAAGGAGTATAGTGATTTCCGTAACACTATTCTTGATAAAGTGCATAACGATTTTGGTATCCTTTGCTGTTACTAGCTAGGCAGTTAGATGGTTGCTTACACACCTATTACCTTCACACTTTTTTATTGTACCGAGACCAAATGGTAGCCTGAAAATATCATATTTCATGTATTATGACAATGCCTAGTAGGCTGTAGCAGAACCTTTTTCACAAGTCCGTACTGTCCATGAACACCTCATCTATCTTCTCATCAAAAGCGAGCAAAATGGCAAACGGACGAGGCCCCGAATGGGGTGATATTAATTTTCCCTCCGGGAACCCAAGCTCAAGTAAGCACTCATAAGCAAAACGAAAAGAAAACCCGTTCAAAAGCAGGGTTAACCAGCCCAGATCCCCCTTCATATACATCAAGCCCTCCTCCTTCATATTGCTCAGCAACAAAATCACGGCCTAGCTATAGGCAATCCTCTTTCAACAGAAGAAGAAGAAAATGCTCGCGCTCATGTATAGCATGGACATTTGGTGTGCTCTTCGTAGCGGGATTTGCTGCCATGATAATCACTTTGGCGACATTATATCCTGAGTTTCGAAAATGGATCACAAGTGATGACTATCATTGAAAATTGCCTCGTTCGAGTCCTTCGCTATACAAAATTGTTGCAGTTTTGGAATAATTGCTCTATTTATTTCCAGTCTAATGAATTGCTGAATGGTTGATGGTTCTATGCGCAGTAAGTAACCCGAATAGGAAATAAGCGTGTAAAACTAAGGACACGGTCGCCCTGCCGCGTCTTGGCATTAGCACCAGACAGTCATCAAAGGGGAGAGATTATACAAAGGGGAGACTATATACAGATACAACCATACAGAGACTTCTAAGAGGATCATGTAAATATCTCTGGATCAACATGCCTCAATCTCCATTAACAGCGACCCTGCTCCAATCCACCGTCCTCAACGCCCTCTCCAATCTCCTGGCGCAACTGATAGACCAGCACAGACAAGACGTATGCCCTACCCAAAAAGTATAAGAAAACCTACAGAATTAACAACGCATAGAAACCATTTACTCTTAATGTCTCCGTTTTCTTAGCATTTGTCATTTACGGGGCTATTGTCGTGCCTCCCAATTTCTACTGGCAGCGGTATATCGAAATCCGTTTCCCGGGCTTTCCAAATCTAAGAAATGCATTCAAGAGCAATGCAGAGAAAGACAAGCCAGTACTAGATCTTGAAGATTCGCTCCCACGCAAGGAGAAGCCCCCTCGACGACAGACATTCTCTTCTGGTCCGTCATCAACGTCTCCGTCGGGTTCAGGATGGCGCAATTTCGCCATGAAATTCACCCTCGATCAGACGGTGGCTGGTGTGGTGAATATCGTCTTATTTGTTGTGTTGATAAATATGCTCAAAGGACAGCTTGGAATTGCGGGTCTTTGGAAACTAGTCTGCGATGTTTGTCTTCCTTTCTTTCTTAGTCCGTTTATGAGACCTGATCTAACGATGATAGGATTTGCCCCCTATTATGGTCGCCCGGCTCAAGTTTCGGCCTCTTGTCTCAGGATTGATGTATACTGTCATTCCGGTGGACCGGCGAGTGGTGTTTGCGAGTGCGTGTGGTGTTATCTGGGGGGTATATTTGAGTCTGTATGCGGCTGTTTAGTGATTTGTTTACTTGGTCTACTTGTTTATCCCGAGAATTTTTATTCGTTAGATAGAGATTCCCCATATTCAGTTTAATTTGATCTAAATTGGCGCGCCAATGAGTTTATCGACTTTTTATTGAATAGTACCTTGCGTTACCAGCGCCTAAATAAAGAATATATACGCCAAAACCCTTCCTACATACGACAATCAAAAGACATAAAGATCATTTCATCACAAGGCCCCCATATCAATCTTCCTCCCCCGCACAGATATCCATTGGATAACCAACGCCCCGACAATTGACAAAGCCCCCATCGCCACACCAGGGTAAAAAGCCTCCGTGATAGCATCGCTATATGCCTGCAACACTTCCGGCAGCCATTCTGGTGACACAGCTTGACGAACCAGCGTAGCACCTGTATCCATTACCTTTGCAATCTCCAGAGGCGGTACGCTCTTGACCATATTATCGAGCAATCGATTCGAAAACACGTTCTGTCCGACAGCGATGAAAAGCGCCCCGCCCAGCGTCTGCGCGAACATATTGACGGCCGTAGCAACGGGGATGTCTCCCTCCGCGAGAGACGTTTGGACGACGATCATGGGCTGTTGAATACCCAAACCGAGACCGATGCCGAAGAGGGCTTGGTAGCCGATCCATGCACTGTGGTTGGAGTCTGGTTGTAAGAGGGTGAGCAGACCGGCGCCGATGGTCATGATCATTGAGCAGGCGATCATGAAAGGCGTGTAGTATCCGATCCAGGTGATTAGGGCACCGGCGAGGACGGAGCAGATGACAACACCGAGGATCATGGGGAGGTTCATAATTCCGGATTTGGTTGCGGAGGCGCCTTTGATTGCTTGGAACCATAGGGGAAGCTGTCGACTCGGTTAACCCTGGAAGATATCTCGAGAAAAGGTTTTAGATACTTACATAGTACACGTAAATGAAAAAGCAGCCACCAATGCAAAACGCATACCATGCTGATCCCCACATATTGCGGTTCTTGATCAACCGAGGCGGAATGGTAGCCTTCTCCTGTCTCCACCACTGCACAACACCGAAGAGCAAGATCAACACTCCACAGCACACAAAAAGTGCAATAACCCGTTTGTCACTCCACTCATACTTGATACCACCCCATTGCAATGCCAACAAGCCGCAGACCACACCGGGCAGAAAGAGCATCGTGCCAGGGATATCCAATTCCGAAATTTGATGCTTGAACCCGGTCCTGCTCTTAATGACTTTTGGCGATTGAAAGAAGGCCAAGATAAACACTGCTGTCACGAATCCGATTGGCAAGTTGATGTAGAAGCACCACCTCCACGAAACATGATCCGTCAAGGCACCACCCATCAACGGTCCCGCAACACTGGCGACCCCAAACATAGCCCCAACCATACCCGTGTACAGAGGACGCCTATGCAATGGAACTGTTTGCGTAACGATGAGAATCGATCCAGAGAATAAGCCTGCGCCGCCCAGACCAGCAATCGCGCGTCCCATGATCAGTCCGATGGATGTCGGGGTCATGCCGCAGATGAACGAACCCAACTCGAAAATGAACAGAGCAATAAGGTAGACCCATTTAATCGAGTAAAACGTATATAGTTTGCCGAAGACGAGGGTCAGGGCGCAAGTCGGTAGTAGGTACGCGCTGCCGTACCAGCCAACATCGTCCAGCGAGTTGAATTGACTGGTAATTTTGGGAATTGCTGTTGCCATGATCGTGTTATCCTTTACTCGTTAGCTCCCTGTATCCTCTCGGGAAAGAAGGTGAACCAACCAAAGCCATGCAAAATACACAGAGACATATTCCAGTCGTGATGAGTGCCAACTTCCATAGTGATGGATACTCATGTTCATCCTCTGTATCCTCTCTGCGCAAAACAGGCTCGAGCTCCTCATAGTAGTATTTTAATGGACTCCCAGGTCGCGGGGAATCAACGAGCGTACTTGTTCCGGATGGCGTCTTTCTCAACCAGGGCTTATCGAGGGTCTCAGTCGAATCCATCTCTATCGTTTCCATCGATTGGCCTAAATGCCTCAAGCCTTTGGAGTCGTTTGTTTGTCGCATCGCAAAAACTCGGTATAGTACTCACAGCATAAACCAGTTTTCGAACATTGGGGTTGCCAGGAAAAGGGACACTTGGTTAAAGGAAGAAAAATCAAAATGAACGAATGCAGGAAGTACCGTTCGCAAGAAGCCAGTACCTTGCAGGACGGTTTCGTGCTGACACGGAAGTGATTGCGAACACCCGACAGAAGGGGTCCGGATCTAACAACAACAACAACAATAATAATGCCCTTGCTCTTGCCGTGACCGTTTGTGGCTGTAAATGAATGATTAGCAAGCGAAGAAAGGGGGAGGCAGATTGGGACATTTGCATCATAATCGTCAGAGGTCTACATGTGGTATCTACTGTCATACGTATTTTGGTGAACATGGTGATGTATGTTGACGCGATAAAGTTATCCACGAACATGCGTTGTGTGTTGATTATGTGGTATGAAAAAGGCGCTACCAATATCAGCGCGGTATTGGGGTACCTGCATACCCTTGCCATACTTGTATGCACACATCGAGATATGCAGGATGTACCTTGCATCCCGACGGCATGCTCCGTTTCAGGCGAACGTGTATGATTATTCGATGCGCGTATGTTTCTCCTACAGCGGTTTATGCTTCCATATTACCGTATTTCATGGAGGCTCTTTCTTTACTATCAGTACAAGACAGTAGTTATATCCATGTCTCTTAGGGTTCTTCCGTCACTGTGAGACCAATCCGTAGCGGTAGACATTACATGTCTGAGATACTGTATTTAAACTTCTAATACTCCATACATGTTGATACAGCTTTGATTCCTCGGCCTGGGCATTCTGAAACTTCATGCAAGCCATGCATACAACAACGAACCCAAACTTGATTGCGCCACCTCCAATTAATTGCAAACCAGTATACCAGTGCGCTATTGTATGTATAGATGCTTGCAGCTGATTGATTACAATTAATCAATCAATCGATAGCTGCGTGAAGATGGTCTCATGCTGCTGATTGATGTCTTGTCAACGTTGCTTTATTCTCAAATAATGCGATATAGACTAGCATGCTTCGCCATCGTACATAATCAGAACGCAATTCTCCCACCCCCAGATAAGTTGCTTCTCGACGCTGTGCCCATGGGAAAAGTTCCGAGTAATGTGAGCAAGCTATCTCGACGGAGCGAGGCAATTATTTCACGCTTCATTTGCACATGAAGATCGATCGGAATAATGTGAAGGTCCTAGAAGACACGATCATGGAGTGATTCTTGGATTTTCAGGCCAGCGTACATCTGCTAAGTTGGAGGAAAAGAGTGAGTGGGACTAAAAGATGTTTTAGATGGCTCGAAATGGGTTACGAAGGGTGAAGTCTCGGGAAAAGTTGGCGTATAGTGGGTGAGGATTTCTGGACATCAAGATAACTCGTGCGTAGCAGTATAACTTGAATCATTGAAAACTAAGCCATGAAAGCTACTAAGCTACTATATAAAGGTCAACAATGTTTCTATGCTCAAGTATCATAGCAAAACAATAGACTCCGTAGTAGAAACAATCCGTCGCTCCCATAGGATATCCCGAATAATGCAATGCCAACATAGAATAGATGTACAACCCCAAGGATGATACCGGTACAACTCGTCCCGCGCTTACTCGGCGGGGGTGATGGTCGTCAATCATGACGAACATTGTGTTTTGAGGGACAACGAGAGTATTCGACTTCAAAGAAGGCTGTGGAAATGCTGCTGCTGATAAATCGAGGGTGCATAACAGTGTACGTAGTATGTCAACAAAAAAATGCTAAGGTACTGGCTGGTGGCGCGCGAGGCGTTCATTGACGTTTCATCGCTTCGACTTCACGACCGGCAACCAAAGCAATCAATGCAGCACCAACACCGCTGCCGTCCTTGGAGATACCAATGCGAATCTTCTTTTCACCCTCAGGACCCACATCAGTGATCTGCTTCAATGCCTCACGAATGTGTCCCTCGAAGTTGGGGTAGAACTCGATGAGACTTCCATCAACACCGACGTCGATCATCTCGTCGGTCTGCAGTCTCCCAGTGGAGACAGCAATGGCAGCGAGAGGCACAGCACCCAGGCGGGCAGCGCGCGTAGCAATAGCGTGTCCGATGACCTGGACAGCCTTGCACTCTGTGATGCTGGCCTTTTCGATCTTCAAGTGGTCTTTCAATGCCTTCTTGACGTGCTCCCGGTTCTCACTCTTGTCCGTCTCAACCAAGCTCAAAAGACTGGTGTCGATACCCCATTGCTTGAATAGAGGTGAGTCGTCAGGGGTAATGACATTAGAGGTCTCGTTGGGCTTGAACAAGTTGACCGATGGGTTGTGGTGCATTTCCACCAAGACCCGACGCAGGACCTCACCCAGAAACATGCCCGAGACACGCTTTTCAAACATCTGAATCCCTGGGTTGTTGCTGTCTGCGTCTACCTGCTGGTCGTAAATAGTGTTCGGTAACACGCTCAATTGATTATCGAAACTTCCCCATTCAGTGTTGATAAGCATCTCGCCCGTCGACTTGTCGTATTTGCCATATTCACCATTCTCCAACTTAGTGACCCGGTCAAGCTTTTCCAAGTAGGCCCCGTTGGTTCCTGTGCCGAAGATGGCACCGATCAACGTCCGTGTTTTCCCAGGCGAAGTGTAGGACCGGGCCATGAGAGTTCCGACGGTGTCGTTAACGAGCGCCGCGACGCGTACCGGCAGTTCTAGTTCGTCAATTGCCGATTGCAACAGCGCGCATACATCCTGGCCCACAGCATCGGGGATGTTGTAGCCTTTTGTCCATCGGATGAGAGTGCCCTTGTTGATGCCCGACTGGCGCACGGGGAAACTGAATGTGAAACCAAGATCAAACATTTCTTGTGTAGCAGTGCCATCGCGACGACGCTGGAGGTGCGTTTCAAAGTGATCATTGTGGTGAATGCGTAGGAAGGCCTCGATTTGCCGGGCCAAGAACACGAAGAGGTCCTTTGAGTTTTCTGCCGACATTAACTCGCCAGGAACCATGATCTTGGACTGCGTGACTGAGAATGTCGTATCGCCATGAAGGTCAATTGAGCACACACGGAAATTGGTGCCACCGAGGTCGACGGCGAGATAGAGGCCCTATAGAAGAAGTCCGGGTTAGCGGGGTCGAGACGAGAGACTTTGTACAAAAGAAAAGAGAAAGTATACCTTCTCAGTACCATTTGGTACGGATGTCACAAAGGTAGGGATCTGGCTCAGGGTTGTGTTTTCCTGAGTAAGCCCTTCACCCATCTGATGAATGTATTCAGCGACCCCTCGATGGACCTGCTCGGCGGGGTAGTCGAAGAGGTGCGCAATGCGGTTGGCCTCGTCCAGGATGAAAGACATGATTGCGGTATACGAGACAGAATGGAATGAGGGACTTGAATCGCACGAAGAACGAGAAAGAGAAAAAAGAAGGTAAAGGGACAGCAGGTCTTGTCGGAGCGATGAATTCCAGGTTATATCATGGGAGAGGGGTCGATGAGGTCAGTCGCAGAAGAGAACAGAAACCGCCGGCTTCCCGAAAGCGACTGGTTTTCTCCGGTTCCTGCCGCGTTGATATGAATTGGTTTAATTGTCATCTATTCGGCAAATTACACGAGATTAAGTGCGTTTTAATAGTGCGGGAAATTCATCCATTTCACTCACTTGCGTGTAGATGTTTGCGGTTGATGATATCATTCTATGGTGAACTCTCCAATGCGAACAACACAAATACCAATATCAATTGAGATCTCGGCAGAGCCCATACGGTAAAATGTATAGAATTGAACCTCAATAATTCTTCTGTCAATTCCTTACATACTCTACTCTGTAGTCCGTGGACTTATATTAGTGCCTTAGGCAAGTAGTCACGTGACCGACCGCCGAATTCCATCGCCGGCAGAACTCGGACGTCGACAGTGATTGAAATCCAGCCCTTCAACAAACCACGACCCCTCTCCCTCTACGCAGTCTAGCCGGTTCATACTCGGGCTCCTCCTCGGCTTTCCCACGGTTTCGAGCTATATACAACCCCGATACCAGAGACACAATGGGCGCCGGCAACTCCAAGCCTGAGGCTTCGGCCGGCTCGAAGCATGTTTTCTCGAGGTAGGAATTGCCCCAATGGTGGACTTGTTACTTTTTCCTGCTTGGTATTGCGGCAGTCTACTATTTGGGAGACTATCCAGAGGGTGGTATCTTGCGCGATTAGGCAGGGGCCGGAATTACTGGAATTGGCTATTCGCAACTTTTTCGGAAGACACAAGCCCTGGATAAGAACCAACTAAACAACAAGCTAACGCCATTCGAATAACAGCAACTCTCCTGTCCAATTCTCCTCGAATCTCGTCGAGGCCCTCCAGACCAGCTCCGAGGTATGCCCACACCAAACCCCTCCAAAACCAACAAAGACTCTTGAGCTCAAGTTAACCGATGAACGCTCCTACAGACCGACTCCTCCCGCGCAAAGACCCTCGAACTCCAGATCCAAGAGCGCGTAGCCAAGGAACTCGAACGCCTCCGCGAACGCGAACAAAAGACCCTCGCCGACATTGAACAGCGCCTGGCCGAAGTCAAAGACACCGCTGCCACCGCTACCGCTACCTCAACACCGAACATCAGCCACACTCCCGGCTCTTTGGACCTGGATGCTCCGCGAATTCCTTTCGCTGGCAGGGAGTACACCCCCGTTGCTGCGCCGGTGGACCGTCCCATCAACCGTGACGTAACGCGGACCGCAGTGCAGACTGAGATCGATCAGCTGCGGGAGAAGCTCGACGGGCGGAAGAAGCTTATTGATGTTGGTGAGAATGTTGAGCGGGCGAGATCGGATGTCGCCAGCTGCTTGCGGGTGAACGACCGGCGGCCTCTGGACTGCTGGAAGGAGGTTGAGGGGTTCAAGCGGGAGGTTGCTAAGCTCGAGGAGACTTTTGTGGACCGTATTGTTGGTTAAATGAGATATGTTTTGATATATCTCTGGTTGTTTTTCTGCCGGGTTTTACAAAAATAAATCGGGTCCTCATCTTCTTACTCTTCCCCTGTCTTACCTCCGTTTATCCGCATAACACTTGGCCTTTGAAATGTGTGCATGTATGTATAGTTTCCTATTTATTCTGTTGAATGATTGAAATTGAACCTTTATACATTTCGCTTGATGGGCGACATGGTTCGCTTATCAACATTACTGCCCTGACTAGCTAATTGAAAACGCCAAGTTTTGTCAAATATGAAAATAAGACATCATCTTTACATGATTTCATCTATTGTTAGGGCTCAACCTGTAATAGGTATCTTAAAAAGCGCATGAATCCGCGTACTCTAATTTGTGTATTTCCGGAGAGTAAGGAGGTTTCAATCATACAAGTTCACGGGCCGCTGGAATCTCTGGTGCTGCCGGAACAAATCCCCTCGTGTCCATTTATCTCAGAGTTATCTTTGAAATAAAGCATTTACCGGGGCAACCTTGTGTTTACAAAGGTGCGTTGTTCTCGGCTGCCTATGCATCACCTCGCGGATAACTGTGATCTCTGCTTTTGATGGTTTGTCGTCCGGGCAAACACCACTAGCCATCAGGATCTTTATATGAGGATAGCCTCGCTAGTGTGCATCCCACGCTGCTTCCACCTGCCAGGACTCTTCTGGCTATCCTGGCAGAGTATACCGAACCCAAATTCTCCGAAACTGAAAGTTCGTGAGGACAATTCTCGACAAAAATCGGATCATGTTGCAGAAACGAATTCTCGATAATGTGAGCCTGAAGGGATGAGATACCCCTTTAGTAAGTTGTAGAACAGGATATGGTCCCTCAAATACCACGTGAAAAAGAGTAAAAAAAAAAAAAAAAAAAACTCGCACGCGAATAGTGATCATCATCAGCCTCTAACTTTGGATACCAGCTGACCAGTCGTTGATTATCCGTATCCTCAATCGGGGCTTGTAGGGAGAATATTTAAACCTTGGTTGTCATGATGGGAAAGTGGTTGGCGCATAAAATGAGGGTGTTGAGAGAGAAAGAGTAAGAGAAAGAGGAAGAGGAAGAGCATGGCGATATTTACGAGTTGGCTTGGTGACTATTCAGCAGGTGCAAACAAAGCATCTTCATTTACACTTTTGGGAAACTGACCGATGTCTAAAAGTTGGTCAACCTTCGAACATTATATACTCTCTAAGATATGAGTCTAATTATATACAGGTCTACATCTCACGGCTGACAGCCCCCTTCATCCGCCTCGCAACATTCCCACTCACGAGAAAAGTCATAATCAATATACCCACAAGGATCCTTCGGCGTGTAAAAGTGCTCGCGCTCATACGGCCGCAGAGGGATACCCTGTCTAACCCGATAGATCAAATCCGGATTCGAAGTAAAATACCGGCCAATACCAACAATAACATCATAATCACTATACGTCTTTTCGAGCGCCTCATCAATCTTATTCGCTGTGTAGCCACCCGCCACAATCACAGGACTAGTATTCCCATAAGCCTGAAGGAAGAAATCAAGCGTATCGCCGGACTGGGGCGCATCTCCGCCTCCAGAGACACGGGACTCAACCAGGTGCACATAAGCCAGTTGGAACTTGGCCAGTTCCTGGGCGAGATGGGTGAATTGCGGAACTGCATCTTTCATGCGCATCCCTTGGAAAGAGCTCCATGGGCTGAGTCGAATTCCCGTTCGTTCGGCGCCGATAGCATCAACGACTGCTTTCGTGACTTCGATGGCGAAGCGGGAGCGGTTCTCGACGTTTCCGCCCCAGTTGTCGTTACGGGTATTACATGTGTCCTGGGTGAATTGATCGATCAAGTAGCCGTTTGCGCCGTGGATCTCGACAGCGTCGAAGCCGGCTTTAATAGCATTCTTAGCAGCCTGCGCATAGTCCTGAATGAATTCATGGATCTCGGGCTCATTCAGAGCTTGCGGCACCGGTTTCTCTGGCGCCATTGGAGTTGCACTGCTTGAGACAACTGGGAGCTGGTCACGCCCCAGGATAGAGGGATCTGCAGCGCGTCCCAACGCCCACAGCTGGAGAACAATGTATGAATTTTTGGCATGGACGGCATCTGTCACCTTTTGCCACATAGCGATCTGGTCGTCATTATAGATTCCGGGGATATTGTCGTAACCACCGGCTCGGGGAGAAATGAAGGTGGCTTCGGTGATGACCAAACTTCTAGACACTACAGCACGCTGCTGATAGTAATCTTTCATTATGGGAAGGGGAACATGAGCATCATCGGCACGGAATCGGGTCATGGGTGCCATGGCAATGCGTTGGGCAAGGTTCATTGTACCGACCCTGATGGGAGTATAGGCTTTCGGCATTTTGCAAGGGAAGGGGGTCATTGAAATGACGATAGTAAAAAATTGGTTTGGTATCCTTTCATCATCTGACATTGAAGACCCCTAAATAACATATTAGAAGTCAATTCCTTGATTTGTAAGATTGTTCTTTGTCGGTTGAACAACTCTCCGGTATCATGATATTTGCGTAGCTTGAGATAAAAGCGAAAATAAAGTCTCCGAGCTTAACCCCGCCACTCCCCTTCATTTCTCTTTATTATTCCATATATCAGTTGCTTGTTGCCTTGGGGTGAAAAATGTTATGCTATACCTCTCACTATTAAACTAACCACCATCTTGAAACCGCTTCATAGGCCCATATCTTAAAGTAGCACGATGCAGCCGTCGTCCCCAGAAAAACAATGGAATTGCTAGAAGGATACTAGCAACCTGGATTGCCATCATTTCCCCAAACACTGCCGCCGCACCTTGTCTGCTAATCCAATCGGATGCGTACAATGACAGCAGCATTCCGATCGTGTTGCGGATGACGAAGATGATTACCAGGGCTTCGCCGGCGACCTAGTCTCGTTAGTTTCATGCACTGATTCCTGACAGGCAAATAAATACATACTGGCTTATAGCAGTCTAGTGAGTAAGTTACAGCCACGTTCGAAATCGCAGCCACACCAAAAGCCTGCATAGCATATCCAAATGCTGGCCCAATCCAGTGCGTCCGGTTGGCGATGCATAATCCGAAAATTAGGATACCCGCTGGTCCAATTGTGCCGGGAATTATAATGGCCGGAAGTCGGTACTCGGGGATTCGCTGGCCTCGGCGATGGTGTGTTAGTCGCGTTGAGATGATATCAATTAGTCGACCTCCAACGTAGAAGGCTAGAACGGACCCAATAAATCCGGACAGAGAAAGGAGCCCCACGCTTCCTGCGGACCAGCTATAAGGTGGCGCGGTGAATGTTTGCGACGCGGTTAGCTGCACGACGATGTTCCTATCGATGTCAGTAGTCATAGTTGTGAGGGGAACGGTATTATGTACCAGCCTACAGAAATTCCGATAGTGAACGCACACCAAATCAATGGAGGATACGCAGCGTTGGTCAAGATATCCACCAAAGTCCGAACAAACGAAGCCTGCCGGTCGTATCCAATAGCCAAAGACATCCACTGCCGTTGCGTCCGTTTTTCTTGAGTCTCGACATTGTCCTTTTGCAGATATGACGTCTCACGAATTGTAAAGATAGAGAAAACAAACACGACCCCAACAGCAATGGCCAAGAAGAAACACATCCATCTCCAACCCTGCTCCTGAACGAGATACGCATTGATCAGTGGGCCAATAAATAAGCCCCCTGTCATGGCCAAGTGGAAAATCATCAAATAATGTCCGCGCTCCTGGGGAGCTACCATATCGCCGACCACAGCAGGTACGGTGGCATCAGCTGCTGCCGCAGCGAAACCAGAAAGGATCCGCGAAGCGAGAAGTTCGCGGTAACTCGAGGCCTGACTGGACCAGACGTTCATCATGCACAGAATAACCATGGCTAGGAGGTAGACGGGGCGCTTGCCAAAGACGCGCATCAGGGGAACCCAAACGATATTACCCAAGCCGAAAAGGAAGACATTGAAGCAGACAAGTTCGCCTGCTTGTGTCTGGGTAACATGGAATTCTTGGATGATAGCCTTTGTAGCGACGGTGAAGTTGCTCGAATTGACGTTGGCTAGAAAAGTGAAGGCGCATATTGTCAGATAGGTGGTGTATTTGACCACGAGTGACCAGTTCTGCACAGTTAGTCAGATCACCGTCTTATGGAAATTGCTTTTTCCAAACAGTTACAAGGATATACCTGTGGATTATTCGGGTCAACCCTGGTCTCATCCTTCAAATCATCCAGGGATGTTTTAGGGGGCACGTTTTCGTCCGCCATAGACTCTATATGGCTCGTCACGCCCTCATAAGACGACTGTTTCTTTTGGTTTGCCATGATGATCGATTACTCAGCAGTCTGAGATGAATTGGCATACTTGAAACAAAATGGAGCAGCTGGTGGATTCTCTTTTAAAGATCGAGATCGCTTTCCCCGCAAAATCACAGCAGCAACCTAAAATGAAAATCACGGGGATTCCGACTCGGATAACCCGAGCTGAAGTCCGGGGTAAAGGAGGCAAGGGTTGGACTTATAGTCGGAAACATTTGTCAAGAGCATCATTTGTTGCATCAGGTCCATCATGCATGATTTGTGTTTCTCGCAACCGTGCATGGGGATAGTCCCGTTAGTTTGGATGTTAATTGGAACATTTCTTTATTTGAGCGCTTGGGATTTACATTGCACGAGTCAACATAACGAGATAGATGTACTCCGTATCCTAATTTGTATAATTAACCAATGCTTTCATGAATATACAGCGCGAAGTAGAAGTATTGTATAGAAGCGGTTAGTTAGTTACCCGTATAAATGACATCATCGGACTATCTCAGCTCGGTGTCAACAATAAAAGGCATAACAAGTGCTCTGCCAAGCTTTCACTGGAATAGCATGTAAATATCACTCGTAGATGCTTTTCAGCAGACTTCTCTGTCCATAGCAGCAACAACTCTCAACTGTAAAGCAATCGCAATACTCCGGTCGGAATTGCTCCGGTCCCGCGTCTCTCCACCTCCGCACAACCTCATCTCAACTTCCTCACTCTTCTTTCTTCCTCTTAAACCACCACCCCCCTCTTACAACTCACGAAAAGAGCTAAAATGGGCATCATCCGTGGTACCCTCAAACTCACCACCATCGGCACCGCCGCCACCCTGGGCACCTTCTTCTGGGCCACCCGCGAAAGCACCTTCGTCTCGCTCCCAGTCACAGACCACATCTTCCAGTCGAAATTGTTCAGCAAGTTCAACCCGTCAAAGAACCCCACGACGCACGATCTGTGTATCCGGAAAGTGCCGCTGTCGGAAATTAACCCCGCACTGCTGGAGAAGAAGGGGAAGTTGGTGGAGGCGTTTTGTGCGGGTGTTTGGAGTGGATGGGGTATGTATCTTGTTTCTTTTTGGATTATGTGGAAAGATATTGGTGCTAATGTGTTGCAGGGTATGCTTTCCAGCGCGCATATCTAGCAAGGAAGTACCAAGGTCCCGAGACCGCTAACCACCTTTGGTCACCGGAAGAGCTGCGCTCCTCGACATACGACAAGGGAACACTGATTACAGACCACTTCGAGGTCGTCGAGAAGACCCCTGAACGGATTGTGGTGCGCTGCGGTGACTCGCCCCGTCTGCGTGATGTGCGGGAATCGGACGGTCTCTTTGAGATGTCCGCGGTTGTAAAGCCGGATGAGGGCGTCGCGGTGTTTGGGCTGAAGAGTTGCTTCTACAAAGGTCTTGGAAAGGCGGACTCGGAGCCAATGCCGGCGCATATTGTCTGGTTGCACAAGCAGTATACCAAGTTGTGGTCGGAGTCTGCTATCCGCAATGTCTTGCGGTGAGCTGACGTTATTCGAAAGATTTCGTATATACATTAGTCCCACCTGTGGTCTAATCACACCATGATCAATTCTCTCATCCTTTATGGATAAATATGGACAGCGAAACACACCCAGTCTAATATAACCAGAGTAAACATGTCGGACGGTTTGAAAACAAACGAGTGACTAGATCTGTTTCTGGCTCCCTTCAGCATGCAGTAGGGTTTCTTCGAGTACTACAGATACCCATACAACCCACTGTTCGAGCACATGTCCGAGCCCAAACATCCTGAGCCAAAAGCTCATCATGCTCGAGGTAGGCACATAGTGAAAATTGTTCACGAAGCAAGAGCTAGTTTGATCTATAATGCATATAACATGGAACGGCGATGAAAAGTAATTGGGCAGATGGGAGACATCTACGCGGATCCCAAAGACTGTTCCTATCTCGATTTGTCTTGAGACGAGATGAAATGATTTCAGTAGAATTCAGACTTAGTCTTTATAACGGGCCTGGGCAAATTAAACTTCGGCACGAACAGAATCAGTGGTCATTTCCATCTGACGAGCAAAAAGCTCGGCGTTTCTAGTAGCAGGATAACCGCTAGATATGGTGCGCTCGAGTCCCATACGCGGGTAGAATCCATGAATGACGAAGAACGGGAAACCACGAATAGTCCCAGAACGGGCAGAATTAAATGACAGCAAACTCGGCTAATATCATTCAGGTAAGTGAATTTGAACATAGGACATATAGATTATTGAATTGATACGATTGCAGTAATATTTACTTCTATATATATGAACCTGATTCTGACCCGTGCCTTAATAACATGTGAAGCACCCCCTGTTCTCTAGTAACAGTGGTCAGCCAGCGAGTCTAATATAGTCTGCTTATACAGAATAAACATGTGACAGTAGACCAACTGATCGCGACTCCCTTACTTCTCGTTGACCTCTGCACGCTGTTCAACATCAGCAAGCCCCGCTCTAGCATTCCCATTGCTCTTCACACTGGTAAGAGTAACAGCCAGTACGGAAGGGATCGCGATGATAAGGGCTGCCGTACAAAGACCCCAATGCATGGCAAGCGGCTCCGGCATTTTATTGGCATTGAGACACCACGCCACTGCGCCACCAACACTCTGGAACGTTTTGTACGCCCCAACCAGAATGGCTGTGACTGTAGGATTGTTCGATTGGGCTCCCATCAGCCAATAGCAAAAGGATTGCCAAAAAGAATCATACATGCCATAGAGGATGCAGAGAAACACCGGGCTCATGTACGTGCGATCTCCTTTGAAGTCAACATAGTGCTTCAGTTCGTGTAGCAAATGCCGGCCTGACCACTTCTGGAAAGCATGTCCTCCGCCCCAGATGATAATCCCTGACACGAAGAGCAACAACCATGCAACTCGAGCTCGCGCCCGGCGATTGACTCCAGGAAAGTCGAGGACGACTGCTATGATGATTCCCCCGACCATCTGTGCTGTCCAATAGAGTGCCCCGAAAAGTAAACGTGTACGAATGTTGAAGGTCCAGTGGCTCACAACATTCTTTTGATATTCGTAGAACATATTTGCGCAAAAAAAGAGCGGGATCATGCCTAATACCTGCCAACTTGACATGATCTGAGAGGTACTCTGGAGCATCTGGCGCCAATTCCGATTTTCCCGGGCCTCTTGTTGTAAATGACCTGCTCTCACCACCGAAGATGGCGGACAGATCCATATACCTGACATCCACCCCATGCACATCACAGCCAAAAACCAGAAATGTGCATTGTCCGATACCGTGCCCGCGGAGTGCGACGCCGTGTCCGTGGAGTAAGAATTGGACAAGAAATCCCAGAGCGAAGCGATGCTACCCCCAATATTTAGAACAAACAAGAACATGGCGATAGCTAGTCCCCTTTGAGCTTCGGGTACGTAAGTAGTTACGATAGCACCTTGGGCTGCCCAGACAAGCGATGCACCGACGCCCAAGATAGCACCAGAGGTAACCACGAGTGTAGCATTTCCTGTGGCTGCAAAGATGTCTGTCAGTGTACTGAAATATAAGCTTGGTTCACAGCGTACAATTGCAGTAGAAAAGACTTCCCACGTGCAGTGGATACGTCCATCCTCCGAGCAGCACGCACAATCGCGGTCCAAGTCGGTCGAACATAGGGCCTGCCACAGAAAGCGAGGATGCTGCCATGGTGGCAAAGATAGCAATTGCTGCCCTTGTTGCAACAGTATGATTTACCATGCCTGGACCCCCCAAAACAGTCATGGCGTTGTACATCTAGGAAGAGTTTATTGGATTAGCTAACTGTCCTTTCTCTGCACAAAAGAGTCGACTGCTTACCCCCACAGTACAGTGACAGATTGCGCTGATAGTATAAACTTGGAACCATGGATCAAGGGGAGGAAATTGGATTCGCTGGTGCTGTGCCTTGGCAACTGGGGAAGCGTCTTCCTCGCGGGGAGCTGGGGCGTTAATCGTGGGAGACGGTGTCTTTTCGCTTTCAGTCTCCATTGTTTTGAAGAAAATCGACTATGGCAGTGTCGGACCTTGTGCGATTCTCTTGGGATTGACTGCAGTTCAAATGGACACCTGGATCTGGTAACCGCGAGGAGCGTTGGATTTAGAAGCTGGAATGTTGATAGTAGTAACGAGTCAAAGAAGAGATGTCTGCTCTAACAGTGTAGGAAGAACGTACCTGCTTGAGCAGGGGGTGGGCCAGTTCTGCCCCGTGGATGAAGTCGAAACGAGTAGCGGGATCCTAGAGATGGAAGGCGCTGTAGGCAAGCCCAATTTGATAAATGCCATTCACTCTTCGCTCTCGTCCGATCTTGCTTACCAATTCACCAACTCCCCTTTATGCTTTTCCTTCACTTATTATCGCTAGCATAGCAGTTTCTCTGTTATAGTTGCTATTTGCGCGTAAACGACTGGTGCTATTTTATGTGCTCTACCATGTACTACACTATATTGTCCACTGACAACTGCACGTCAACGGTTCAGTTATCTGATCCTAGTAGCACTCAATCCCCTCCATACTCGATTCCACGGTGCTGGCGGATACGTGCAGAATGATATTGATGATAAATAAGGGCTTGGCCCTATCAGTTCACTTCTTCGCCATGGAGTGCTGTGCTGTCCATCTTGGCCATCCCTTTGTTTATCGCTTGCAGACATTTATAACACTTTCTGTCTTCTCAATATGCTGTAGTCCCTTATGCCAAAGCTTACTATATCTCACCTTGCTAGCCACACGTGACGAGCTCTTTCTGCGAGGAATGATTGGGCGGGTAATGAGGACGGTACATAATGCTCCACTGAAGAAAGACAGTCAATTGGGGCTCTCGCAGTGTATTATGTGTACTATGATACCAATAGAACGAAATTGAACACAGTCAATCACCCAATGTTTGAATACATATTCTCCTTTATCGAACCGATGGGACTGAACAATGAATGTCAAACAGGATTTCAAGAAGGGGGGGGGAGGTGTGAGAAAAGCATGGTATCTTCCTTGGGGCTTCCACCTGCTGTTCGGTGCCATATACCGCCATGTCTTCCCCCATTTCAACCATCTCATAGAGCTGAATCCATATCCCAGCGATATTACTCCGGTCAATTCATTGATGGATGCTCGCTATATGCTACAGACTTGTCGCACAGCGTATAATGAAGCTGCACCTCTGTGCTATTCCACTAACCGCTTATTCGTTCAACATTGGGATTTCGGGGATATGAAGGTATTACGAGACCTTACTTCCACTTCCATGAGCGCCCCTCATTTCTTAACTGTTCACATCAATATCAGCTCTTGTGAAAAGGGAGCCCCATGCTGCAGGGGACCCAAGTTACCCGTCAATCATAACTGCCTTTTCTTACCATGATGAGTCTCCTAGACCATGAACACCTGAATAATTTTTTTTGCATTCGATGTTCTCTGAATGGCACAGCATTGTTAAGGACATTAGCATGCATAACCCCCCATCACAGTTTCATTTGTCCTTGGTTTGTGATGTTAAGGATATAAGGATAGCGGAAAGCCTACTTCAACCACTGTTGAATGGAAAGTTCCCGATCCTGGCAGGCTGCATGCAATATTCGCCTGGGCCGAAAGTGAGACTCTGCTCTCTGACCTCGCACGCAAAGCAGCAACTCAAGCCATCGGACAAACTTTTAGTCCTTCGATCCCTGAGGAGCCTTTTCGATTCCTGGGCTTACCGCGAGAACTTAATATCAGATCCTGGAATATACATATCTGGTTACTCCATGGCGCGAGATTACCTGGAACCCCGAAGAAGGGTTCTATCTCCATTATGATAGTCTATCCTGTGGGGATGTCTGGTGTGCAGAAACCCACTACAGCTGTCAATTTCGCAATTGCCACAAGCGCATGAACAACGGGTGCTTCTGCAACCGCTATCATGCAGCATTTTCAACAGCAACTATCTGCCGTTGTTGGTGTGGCCCAGTATCACTATATCTTGTTTCCAAATCTCTGTCAGCTTGCCCAATCCGTTTTCCCTCTAAGAACTATTTCATCATCATGCCTTCCAGAGGACAATTCTTCCATAAGTCTAGAACTGTACCTGAGTGGCTGGAAGTCTCTCTTTTTCTGCGCGACATGGTGCCTCCTGACATGCTCTCGTCTTTGGTTTCTTTGGCTTGTCTTCCCACCTGTCGACCCGGGCTACGTACCTTTGGAATCACCTGCCTCTCAAGACTGGGTTGAAGCCATCTCGTACGTACAAGAGCAGTTCAGCGACCAGCGCAGACTCCTCGCCTGCCTGCGGATTTACTTCTACGACTTAGACGCCAAAGAGGAAAACATACAGAACACAGTTGCCGTGCAGAAGCGGATCATTTTGTCATTATCGCGGCTCGGGAAGAATGGGATAATTGATCGTTGTTTTGTATTCAACTCCTGGCACCAGTTGTTGAATGATCTGTTGATGATTGAACAGAGTCTGAAAAGGCAGATCATGGATGTGACGACGGGTATAATAGTAAGCTCGCGGAGGGAAACGAGCAAAGGACGAGTCAATGGCTTAAGCACGATCTCGATATTGATGAAGAGGCATCCGTGAAGATTCGGTTTAATGAAGCGTTGTATATAACGCAGTACGACAGGACTCAAGATGGTCTGTGAAGGATCCTCGGGTCTAGGCATGGGGACGGTGGAACAAGTCAGAGCGTGCGTATGTCTTTTGTCTTTCCCCACCAAAAGCCCAGACTTTAATTCCCACTTTCCGGTCCACATTAGTATTTCCTCTTTCTCGCTCTTTTTCTCCTTTCCCGCTCTTCCTCTCCATAATCAATTCTCTCTATCTTTTTCTTCTTTTTCCCCTCTTATTTTATCGACAACTCATTCTTCCTCTCTCTTTTCCTGTTCGATCGGGTTTTCCGTCGACTTGACGCTCGTTTTTTCCCTCTTCTTTCCTTCCCCTTTCTCTTCTTCCTTCGTTCTTGTTCTTTATCGTTCATTCCCGGCCTGGTGCTGTCGTACTTTTTTATTTGCTTGTTTGATTCTTTTTTTATCTTTCCTCCGGCTGCGCGTTTCCGCAAGGGACTTTGTCCAATCCTCTTCTCGAGTAAGACACGCGGCGGTTGAAACTGTTCCTTCTGCCTTCCGCTGTTGAGTGTTTATCTTCCGATCCACTCTCCTTCCCCTTGATCTTGAGGTACTGTCTTTACTCTACATTCATTCTATTTTTCTATTCTACATTATTTTATTCATTTCATTTCATTTTATTTTCTTCTCTTCAACTGTCTACCATCTTTCTGCCTGAATTGCGCCTTCGTTTTACTTTCCCTCGGCTAACCTCCAACGCGAATTCACAGCCTCCATCCATCAACCAACATTCATTTACCGTTGCAACTTGTATTCATCCGATAAGGCTACGAAACGACCTGTGAATTAAAAGAAATACATAGCACGAAATCGAGCCAAGAATTATATAAATCGATTCAACGTCATATCGCGCAACGGCCATCGTCGACTGTTGCACCGACAGCCAAAACAGCCAAAGGACTGACCTACCAGCTTTGTTTCCTATCTTGCACCACCCCGTGTTCGTCCACTCGCGAGTCGACGCCAACCGTTCTTCATGGTCGCTTATTCTGCTCAATCACCATCTCTTCACAAACCGACCCCTCCACGCAAGATGGCGAAGTTCCGAGCGAGCAATGTGCTGGGTGATCCTTTTGCGCTCGCAACCATCTCTATTTCCATTGTAGGTTTCCTGTTGTGCTGAGATTTGTCAAGAGACCCCGTGCTGATTTGATTGTTTCCGGATTAGTTGGCGTGGTTGATCGCATTTGTCGCATCCATCTTCTCCGATGTTAAGGGGGGGTTCCCCAATTACTCGTGGTGGGCTATCGCCTACATGTTCTGTGTCATCACTGGGATCACCGTCGTCTTCGGTTCGGATACGGGCCATGTCTATAACGTTGCAGTACGTTTACTTTTGAACTATTTCAGCAGACTCAGTCGATGCTAATGAGATTCTTAGCTTGTTGCGTACCTGGCTGCGGGCCTGGTCTTCACTACATTGGCCCCGAACACGCTAGTATATCAGAAGCAAGCATCTGCACAAGCGGCAGGGGCTGGATTTATCCTTCTGTCCATGGTGATTGTACGCTGCCCGCCATCTAAACCAGGCACCCAAATTTGTGCTGACCATAAATTAGATTGTGTGGATCTTTTACTTTGGTTCCAGTCCTCAGGCCTCTCATCGCGGCTTTATTGATTCGTTTGCCCTCAACAAGGAGCAAAATGGATACGGAAACAACCCACGGCATATGTCGAACGTTTACGGCAACCGTCCCGAGACCTCGACCAGCCAGATGCCCCAGATGTACACTTCTGCTCAACTCAACGGCTTCGAAACATCGTCCCCCGTGTCTGGGTACCCCGGCGGTCCTCCTGGTGCTGAAAACCCCCACGCGTCCCGGTTCGGTGGTTCGGTGGCTGGCAACCCTGGCGATATTCCGAGCGAAGTGCCTCAACCGACCGAGTACCCATACCGCGCCAAGGCAATTTACTCGTACGATGCGAACCCAGAAGACGCCAACGAGATCAGCTTCTCGAAGCACGAGATCCTGGAAGTATCCGACGTCAGCGGGCGATGGTGGCAGGCCAGAAAAGCAACAGGCGAAGCGGGTATTGCGCCATCGAACTATTTGATTCTTCTGTGATCGATTGGGTTTGGTTTTGGCAATATGGCGTATTCCTTGTTCTTGTTCTTTTCGGGTGATGTTTGCTACTTTCGTCATACGTTTAAAAAGGACGAGAAAAGACCTTTTTTTTTTCTTGATCCTTTTATTTTGTTATTGATTGATACCCTCCCTTGTCGGATCTCTTGGTGTGATTCTGGTTACAAGATTATGTCATGTCCTGATGCTTTTTGTTCTTTTGGGTACTGTGTGCTTCAAGTATATTTCTTGATTAGCCTGCACTCCTTTCGATTTACTCTTTTTTCTTTCTATTTGTACATTCATTACGGAGCGGATGAATGGCCGCTTGAATTGATGGTTCGGGTATTTGATTTGTGATGTCTAAGTATTTCTCACTGCACTGTTTATATTGTTTTAGGAATGCATTTGTTTGATTTGAATTATTGATTCGATGTATTGAATGTGGCTCTCCACAAACCTCGGTGTCTGGGGACCTGCCATGTCAGTCTGAGGGATTAACTTGGCAATGGCCACGAGGTAGAAAGTACAAACGAAAGCAATCTGACTATCGGTGTACGGGGGATTATACTCCGGATACAGTATGTCCTTCACTGTAGCTATGTATACGATCTCCATAGTCAGCAGCATTCTAGGGATGCACGTGCATCCATATACCCAAAATGGTGCTAATACAGATGGCTATCAACAGCCATTGGGCAGCAATTGCAAAGTAAGAGGTACTAGTAAAGTACATGCAGTTAATGCCAACACAGAATACTGCTACTCAAAACCAAGTCTCTGGGATGCAGCAGTACTATGTACATAGTAGTGAAGTCCTGTATTGACAACATAAAAATAGCTGCTGGTATTAAATCCTGGAGCTCTGGCCACTGCATATCGCTTTTTTGTCTCCTGTTTCATTTAATATACCAACGCCCTCTTTTCTTCACTAACAGAGTGATATGCAGATTAATAAATAATCAATGCCGAGAGTTCATTTTTCTTTTTCTTATCTTACTCTCATTCCTTCTACAAATTCTACGGAATATACTGTGTTATCACTTACTGCCCCCTCACCTTATTGAGACTACCATGAAGTGACACACCCTTCTTCTCTTTCCTTTTAATTCACATACGAGAGAAACTGTCACCATGCCCGACCGTCTCTCTCGCCTATTCAAATCGAAGCTGCTGCGGCGATCGTCCACCTCGACTGTGCCTCTGAAGAAGCAAAAGGCGGACTCCAGAGCGGTCGACTCCAGTACCCTGACCTCTTCGCCCTCCGACAACGTCGTCTCTTCTTGCGCGCCTTTATTTCCCTCCCCTTCCTCCCCCGTCGAGTCTACTGCAAAGCCCCGCGCCTATAGCGTTGTCTCCTCGCTACCTCTCGACCACCCAAGCTCCCCGGACGAGATACTCGTGGGCGCGGGCCCAGCTACTCCAGCGACCGGTACCTCTGCCGATTATCAGGGGCACCACTATAATCACCAGCAGCCCCAGCACCAACACCAACAGGGACTGTGTTTAGACTCGATCGAGAGATCCGCATCGGTAGGAAAAGGCCGTCCGGACGAAGTATTAACGAGAAGAGGATCGCAGCCAAAGAGTGCGGAACTATCGGGCAATTCCTTGGATCCAGGTCCCACTACCACGACCGCCGCCTCCGCCGCCGCAGACCAGTGGCAACAACCCGATCAGCATCGGAAAAGAAACGACCTCTCGGGTCTGCAATCGACTCATTTGCCTGTCGCGTCCTCGCCCGGTCCATCGAGTTCTTCCCCGCTTCCCCTTTCAGATCCGTTTGGTGGTGCCTTGCATTCGCCCAGGCTACACGAAGATCAACAACAACAACAACAACGCTCCGGTGTCAATCCTACGACCACAATCGTTGATCCTCGGGTCTCGACTCCGTCGCTTGCCCCTGTGGCCGAATTGGTCCCCTCTGACCAGACTCCAAATAATCACAACTATCAACATTCATCTACTATACCTCCGCCTACTTCCTCTTCGTCCCTCAAGCGTCCTAGCCTTGTCGTGCGCAGACAGTCTCTGCTTCCGCCTAACCAACAACACTTGGTCAGTGGCATCCTAGACCCTGGTCTACTATTTCACAACGGCACTCAAGTTACGAGCAGTCGCGGCGGCCCAGTCAACTTCGAGATGCCAACCCGCAAGATTTGGGTTAGACGCCCAGGTGGTTCGCAAACTTTGGTGCCAATTCTGGAGGATGCCGTGGTGGACGAGTTACGCGACCAGGTCATTATCAAATTCACCAATTCTTTGGGGAAGACGTTCGATTCGCCCGATATCGTGATCAAGATTGTCCCGCGCGATGGCTCCACCAAACAGTCCACTCCGGAACGGCTATTGAATCCGGAGGAATCACTGGCATCTGTATTGGATACCTACTACCCCGGGGGGCAGCGTGTGGAGGAGGCTCTGGTCATTGATGTCCCCCCTCGTCGAACTCCTAAACCCTCCCCGCGACCGATGTACTATCACCACTCTGATCCCGTTGAACATGGAGATTACTTTTCCATTATGCCTATGAATCACAATGTCTCGACGCCCCCTACGCATGTCTCCAGTGCTGCTACCAGTGTCAATGCGCATCAGACTCCGTCGATATCGATCTTAGCTACGGGCAAGGCTCCTCCCCTCCCATCTCCAGGTAGTACTCGCGCGAATCGACATGCTCGTCGACCTCCTACAATACGCCATCCTACACATCCTACAAACTCTCCGACCACATTGCAGACACCAGTGCCAAAAGGTTTGTCCTTCTCGCTCTCTTCCTGTTTTATTTTTCTCACTCTATTCTGGTAGAATCCGTCACCCCCGCTGTTCAAAGTCCTCAAGCAGCTCCAGCAGCTGCTACGCCACCACTCCCTCCAGCACCCGAATCTCCACAATCCAAGACATTGACTCCACCCACACGGGGATCATCACCGCGAGCACGGCCGTCTTACAAGGACAAGAAGCCCAATAGTCCATTGTCGCTGAGTGCTGCGTTTGGTGGTCTCATCGAGGGCACCGTCCCTCCGATCAACGTTCTGATTGTCGAAGATAACATTATCAACCAGAAACTCCTAGAAGCCTTTATGAAACGTCTCAGTGTTCGTTGGAAGTGTGCAGCCAATGGCGAAGAAGCCGTGAAAAAGTGGCGCCAGGGTGGATTTCACTTGGTTTTGATGGATATCCAGCTCCCCGTCATGAACGGATTAGAAGCTACCAAGGAAATTCGACGACTGGAACGGTTGAACGGGATCGGTGTTTTTCCCAAGACCCCTGATGGCCGCTCCAGTGCCAATACAAACTCATACTTTACGCCAGGGGCAGGCCAAGGGGTTTCAAGTACTATCAAAGAAGAGGATACACTGCATGACCGGACACTATTCAAGAGTCCCGTCATCATCGTAGCCTTGACAGCTAGTAGTTTACAAAGTGACCGTCATGAAGCCCTTGCCGCGGGCTGCAATGACTTCTTAACCAAGGTTTGTCCCTTTCCCTCTTCCCCTATCTTCTCTGTTTAACCTGTTTCTAACGGACCCAGCCTGTCGGCTTTCCCTGGCTCGAACAAAAAGTCACCGAATGGGGCTGTATGCAAGCCCTAATCGACTTCGACGGCTGGCGCAAATGGCGTGGCTTCAACGACGATCCCGAACCTTCTCCCTCCCCCACAACAGACGGCCACACGAGTCCCATGCACATGAGCACGGCAGTCACAAAGCCTCCGTCGCCGGTATCCCCCTCGTCTACCCGCAGCCCGATGGTTAAGAATCAGGTTGATGAGGTTGTGCCGGTGGCGGCGGACGAAGGCGATGGTAAAGCAGAGGAAGATCCGCCGCGTTTGCCAGAGCAGGCGGAGATTGTGAGGGAGGATGGTGAATAATCTCTTTCTCTTCTTTTTCTTTCATTTTTTTGTCATATCATTTATATACGCAGGCACAGGGCACAGCGGAACTGCATATATGCCATACAAAATCCCTTTTGTTTTGACTTTGCTTGGGCGAATCTCTTTCTCTCGCCTACTATGTTACTCTTGCTTGATTTGTTCTTAGTTTTATGATGGTTTCTTTGGATACCCAGCATAGCATATTTTCTTGCTCTTTTTCTTTTTCTGTTGTTATGTCTTACGATCTACATATCAGTACACGGGATATGTTTCTGTTATTTCTGTTCTATTATGTCTGGTTTGTCTATTTTCGAGGTTTACTATTGAGTGATGGAGGGAATTGGGGATGGGATGGATATAGGAGAGATATGTTAGGTTAGGATAGGTAATGCTAATGCATTAGATGTGGTCAAGCTTGTAGTAGGAAACTTATATGTTGAAGATATCGATATTCGTACATGTAATTCTTAACATACCACATATCTGGTAGACATGATATAAATACAGTCACAGCTCGTTCACCACGTAAAAAAAAAAAACCCCCTGTATATGTACAAATACAACCAGCCCATTACCATAATGTAGCCCAGTTAAAACAGCACGATAAAGGAAAGAAGTTAAACATTAACCCTTGTGGGAATTTTAACCTCACCCTTCTTCCGCTCATAACTAGGAACACCATACCGCCTCCCAGGAGCCCTATGCCCACGCCCGTCAGCGCCAGTTGTCTCCTTACTTACAACAACATCCGTGAAGCGGAACTCAAACCGCGAGTCCTCAGGGTTAACCTTGGCAGTCTTCTTCTCGCGGCGCTCCTCAGCAGCTTGCCTGCGCTCTGCCTCGGCGCGCTCTTCCTCCTGTAGCCGTGAGGAGAAACGTTTGATGTTTTCGCCCCGCTCGTGGGGCTTCTTTATGCTGTCACGCTCGTGCGCGACGAGGTAGGGATGCGGGATACGTGCATCAGCGGGCTGCAGGACCTGTGTCTCCTGGTCACCTTTGCCGACGCGTTCGATGAGGTGAGGATTCTGGGTGGCTCGGGAGATGGAGGAGGAGGGGTCATTTGTGATTTCATCGACGGTGGAGTTGGGGAGGCGCGGGGCGCCGGAGAAGACGCGGCCGGCGTCGACGCGGGTGAATTGGCGGGATTCGGAGACAGGGTAGAAGATTTGGGGGTCCGTCAGGCGGTGGACAGGGAGATCGTTGATGGATTCGTGGGGTCTTTGGTTACGGGGGTCGGGGGAGTAGCGGGTTGTTGGGACCATTTCTTGGATGGCGCGGGAATAGGGGAGGGCCAGTGGTTTACCCTGAGTATTCAGTTAGTGACTGATAATAACAGTGGCATCATGAAAAGAAGAGGATAAAAGCATTGCAATCAGATATAAAACTTGTTATACGCATTCCTTGGTGACCAAGGTCATAAAGACTAATCGATATTTTTGTTGTCTCATCACACAATGCAGGGGAAAGGAAAAAGAAAGACGAAAGAAAAGAAAAAGAAACATACCTGTGTCCTCCAGCCCTTCTCCATCTCCATCAATCTCACCACAGCCGCAACCCTCCTCATGTCAACCTTCAATTCAATACTAACCGCCCTCACACTTTTCTTATCCTGTGCAACCCTCTTATAAATCTCCTCGCGCATCTCCTCACTCAGAATCGGCTCACTGACAAAATTCTGGTTCAGCGGAAACGGCCTCTTCGACAACTGCTCCGGGGGCACAGTGTCCTTGGCCAGGTCTCTCAGGTTCGTCACGTATTTGTAGACATTTGGTTCGTGGTATCGCAGCTTTCGCCCTTCGCTGTTTAGCCATTCGAACATGTGGCTGCGGAGCCGTGTTTGGGCGGCTGATGTGGAGGAGAAAGTGCGGTGGGGACATGATGTAGAGGATGGTGGGAGAGATGTGCAGGAAGAAGCGGGTGTGGAAGAGGTAGAGGAGAGGTAGGGGAGAACAGAGTTGGAAACCCGTTGGGTTTGTATCCGTGGTGGCATTTTGAGGGGGGGGCGGGTGTGTGTGTGTGGAGGGGAAATTTTCAAGGTGATCAGGATAGGCCTGACTATGGCCGTAAATCCTGCTTCTAGAGATCTTCTCAACTAAGCTAATAGCAAAGAAGATGCAATTGAGCTGATTGACAGGCAAAATGTGTTCACGCGTTGGACAGAATTGGCAATGCGGACACAAGGAGAAAACAGTGTGAGGTCCAAGCGAAGAAACTTTTCTGCGTTTGCCGGTGGCACGTGCACTCACGTGACCACATCACGGACTATGTACAAGATAACAATACCATTATCAGCAAGAAAATCGTTATAGAGCTGAGGTTTTAGTTCAGGAATACAATCATAATGAGATATCAAATACGTGTAAAGGTATCGTAAAGCAGTACACACATCCAATCCACAAGTGAAAAGAATACTAGTTAAGGGGATCATTAAAAGCAAGGGAATAATATGCAAAGAAACTATCAAGACAATTAGGCATCCGCAAAGCAATGCGCTATAACCAGTAAGCCAACCTAACAGCCGGACGCCTCTTCCGCAGACCGAGAAGAGATGAGAATTCCAAAGTTGTGTCCATGTAAAAAGAACGCCTCTCACATGTAAATGTAGTAGGACAAGATACCGACCCTGGCCCTTTTCTTTTTTGCTCCGTAGATATGCCAATGGGTGGTATGAGAGAAGGAAACAAAAACAAAAAGAAACAAGTTGAATTATAGCAAGACGCAGGGAATAGTGCACGAAGAAAGAATACTCCCACCAATCGTAAAAAAACACATCAAGCAAAACGAAAGACGACCCGAAGATTTGCACCAGGGATACAATGCAACTGTTTCCCACTTGTATCTCCTGAATGCACACCCAGATCAATATGCCATACAATAGAACAATGCAAGAGAAGTTTGACTTCACAGAGAAAAGTCAAGAAAAATCAGAAACCGCACACAAAAGCAAAGCAGAACACGGGGTATGAATGTAACGACGAATCCGACAACAAAGGGGTTGGGGCAAGACATCAAGCAAATATTGCAACACACGAATAATCCTCGTAAGCTTCTCAAACACACGCATGAAAATGCAATCCTCCCAAACGTGAGAACAGAGCATAAAACAACGACAACAGCGCCCATAGTCCGATGCTGTGCAAGTATAAGAAAAAAGCAAAGTAAAGGGGGAATAATAAGCGTAATAGTCAATAATTAAAGAGAAGGAGAGAAAAAAAGAAAAAAGAAAAAAGAAAACATAAGAAGCAAGAAGAGAACACAGAAAGCCAGAGTAACCATAATCCTTACTCCTGGGAGGAGAGGAGCCTCCAAATGCTGATCTAGCTCATGAAAACCAGGAATCCCAAAGCGCCAGATACCCCAGTTGTCATCAAACATGCCGGACATTATTTCAAGCGATCACAATGCTAGTGTCTTTGTTTACCGACCCATCATGTAGTCGGGATAGTATGAATTATAGCTTCCCACATTGGAGCCAGGCGCAGGCGTACCACTCCCGTGGACGAGTGGAGGAGTCGGCGACATCATCGGGTTCATACCGTTGGCCCGAATACCCAGGCCGGCGTTGGGGTTGAATGAACCATTACTTGCCATGGTGGCGTGAGCATGATTGGCGGATGGGTGGATAGGTCCATTGTTTCGCAATGCCAACGGCATCATCAACCCCGGAGGGGCCGCTAGACCCGGAGGCGGTCCGTTCACCGAGGAGAACATATGGTTGCCGTTGCTGTTGCTGTTATTGTTGCTGTGTATCGCACCAACGTTGTTGTTTCCAGGGACAACACCCTGTTGGGAAAGATGATTGGGATTCGCCATGCTTCCTGGTTGACCAGAACGCACACCCAAGGGGTTCTTAGAGAAACTCAGGCGGATGCCAGTCTTGACACTGTTCGACAGCTTGTACCCGTATAGCTCATTGAGCGCCTTGCTGGCCATAGCCACCTCATCAAATTCCACAAAACACATGGGCCCGTTTTGCTTGTTGCGGAAACAAAGTCGCTTGTACCCACGTTGTTTAGAAAACAACGCCTTGAGTTCCTCCTCAGAGGTGTCTGGAGGCAGGTTACCCACGTATAGGGTATTGCAGGGTGGGTTCAGATCATTCGGGTTGGCTGCGGGAAGACTATGGCGGGGATTGTGCTGGTTGCCGTAATGGTAACCATGGTTTCCGCTCATGCTGTTGTTCATGTTTTGCGGGTAGGCGTAGTTGCTCATGCGTCCTGGTCCTCCATTTGCTGCATTTCCGCCGCCAGTTCCAGACGCGTAATTGGGCAATGGTGGGGATGTCATGTTGTTTGACAAAGACATGTTGGCAAATCGGGAGACGGGAAACTGGGGGTTTGTGGAGCGACGGGGGATGGCTGTAGAAGCGGAATGCCCATTCTCGGCATAGCCAACGGGGTCCTTCAGCAGTTCACCGGTTTCTTCATCTGGATCTTGGTCAATCATGGACTTGCCGCTGATGCGCGGCAGATCGTTGACTCCATTTCCGATGGGTGACTGCGGAGAAAAGAGATTGTGCAGGCGCGTTTCGGAGGCCGGTGGCAACGCGTCGTTGTTGGCCGCAGTGGCTGACAGCCGTTCCAAGCTCTGGAAGGTACCGTTGAAGCGTGACGAGCGCGACATAGGGCCATTTGCGGGAACGTTGCCTAAGAGATTCCGAGTCGCGGTATAGTCGATGGTGTTTCGGCGACCGGGGTTGAGGTTAGGTCCGACCGAGCCATTGACAATATCGACAATCATGTTCGCGTCATTCTTCGAATTGGGCTTGCCATGCAACAAAGCTCTCGCTTCCTCCGCCGCAGGCATGGAGTTAAAGCGGGCGATTGCGCTCAAATATCCAGTGTCCTCCGGCAGATCGACTGGGATGAAATCTGCATCTACAAAGTCCTTGGCGAAAAGCAACATGCTGCGCAAGGCCTCACGACTGGTGTTTCGTGGGAGCTTTCGCATCAGGATCGCGCCGCCACCACTGTTTCCCGTGCGAGAGAAGCCGTTGAGACTTTGCGCGGACCGGTCGGGTTCATTTAGATGCATGGTACCGGGAGCAGCGCCGCCGTCGAAGGCGGAAGATGTGCCAATGGGGGAGAATGGGTGGGAAAATGAGTTGCTGAACGAAGTTGGTGGATGCGACGCGGTCGGGCTATACACGTCGGTCGACATCGCATTCTGGGCCGTCGCGGGCGGCAGCGAAGATGAGGGGAGGGAATACTGCGGCGGCGAGGAACCGGATGAGATTGATGCGGTGCGCTGTGTGGTACTGTAGGACCCAGGGCTTGTGCGGGTAGACTGGCTCGAACTGCCGCTCATGCCTCACGAAAGGGTTATGGATATGCTAGATATGCTAGATATCTCCGAAAGAGAAGGAGGGGAAGAAAAAGAGAGAGAGAGAGAGAGAGCGAGGTTGTGTGGACGTGTGGTTGTGCGTGCGTGGCCACCCAAGACTTTTTGGCTCCACGATAAGGAGGCAATAGGAGGGATGGACAATGATCTCACGAAACAACCAGCGGGGAATATAATATAATTATAAAAGATGCTGGGATTCAAGAATGATAACTTGACTCAGTAAAGAAGGGGGGGGAGAAATAAAAAAAGAAGTCGTGGTCAGTGAGCGTCAAAAAGGTGGGTTTTCCCTTAATTGTGCGATGGTCGATAGACTCCGTACGAGGGGGGGGGCGCGAGTCGCCCCTGACAATGCGGCGAAAACGGCAATACGCGCGACGGACAAGCGAAAGATAATCAATAATCAGGCACGAAATCAAGTAGTTAAAGTAGTAGTAACACGAAATTGATGGTGATAACCAGAATGGGAAAATGGTAAGAAGAAGAAAAGGTGGCGGAATGTAGAGAAGAAAGGAATAGAGGGGAGGGGAGGTGGAAGAAAAGAAACGGGGATGGGAAAGAAGAGTATGACCAAGCAGGCCGCAGAACAAAGACGGGATACGGGAACAGCCAGAAAATGCAAGATGATAAAAGATGCGAAGAATGTGTCGTGATGGTGTATAGAGCGTAAGAGAAGAGAGAAAGGAGGAGCGTAGTAGAGATATGAAGGAGAGAGGACTCGAAATCACCCGGAGAGAGCGAGCGAAAAATGAGAAAAAAGAGAATAAAGAGAATAAAAAAAGAGAGCAAAACGACCAGAAAATCGAAGGTCCGGAACGGTCTTGACGGGGGTGGGGGATGTGGTGGGCGAGCGAGCGGCCCCCGATCAGGTTTAGTGTATGAAATATTACCGGATATTTTACAGCCATGTCCTCTCTGGGCCTAGTGGTTTTCTAATTTCCCCTTTTTCCGCAGTCAGGCAGACCCTCGCACGCGCGTCGTACACCCTGTATGGTAATTCGTATCTGTATTTCAGCACTTCACGATATAATGCGGATACTCTATTGTAGATAATTTTATATTCCGAGAACAGTAGCAGTCTCAGATGCAAACGTGGAAAGATGCATAGCTGGTCCGTGTCCGCACCCGTACCTAAGAATGTAGGTGGAGCCCAGTTGACAGTTCCACTGATAATGCATATCTGTACGAAAAGCACGGAGCAAGCGTTGAATCTACCGAGTATCTACTGTTATTATCACTATGTGCTTGTATTCATGTCACGGATAAGTAGCCATTGCTCATTCAGGCATATATGATGATAATACTATAATAATAGTGGTGGTAAGATCAAGGTCTCGTCAAGCCTTTCGCTCATGGGACCTGCATAAACCTCGATCAGGGCATATCGGCGTCATCTAATAAACTTTGCCATCCTGCTAGGAACTGGACAATACATTATGTCACTATCCATGTCACACATTATAATCAAACACTCAAAATGGCCCAAGTACCTCATTGCACTAGCATTACAAGTGCTCGACCACCCGGTAGTCATCTTGTCAATTGACCGTCATCCTATCCCCTGATAAGAGTGATCCCTGGTTCCTAATTGGGGATGGTGTCGGTTTGTCATTAGTCAGCCGAGTAGCACAGCGGCGGAGCAATACATGATCTGCTTGATGCACTTTTTCATCTGATAGTATTGAGACTTGAATGTCAAATATTGTTGCTATGTATAAACGCATTCTATAAATCAAAAACTATGATGTAGGGGAAAGTTTTACATTGCGGTGATATTGTGTACCGGCGTAGCCCACCAACTACAGATAAGTCGTTGGCGGACAAAGGTCGCGAGTGACGAGTGCAGGCAGACGACTATACGGCATCAAGTCAGGATACTAGTTAAAAGGATGTGTATTGATAAGAACACGTGAATCGCTTAGTTCTTACCATCTACGCCCGACGTCTTTATACACAGGATTACCCAAGATACACCGGCATAATATTTTTTCATTCAAAACAATTTAAAACCTTTGAACACCCCGCCAGACAACAGAGAAATCGCCACAGTACCGCAGCGACACTATCTATATTTCATATGTTACAAGCCTACCAGACTAACATCTGAAATGCCGTTTCACGGGGGCGGAACCAACTACGGTTAATTTGTACATGGATATACGTAGCAATACATATGGCTTGCTACCAATTGCTCGAGATTACCAAGTCCCTTAATGAATTCGGGCACATTTGCTGAGCACAGACAATCCCTGACGAAGATGCCAGGTCGATACCAGCGGGTCGATATAGCGAGAAAAGACGAAAACGAAATAGAATGAAAGAGAAAGGTGAGGAGGGAGAAACAACACATGCTGGCTGGATACTGGCTATTGGATTATACTGGAGTGCGTACTTTGTTGATTTTTCAAAGACTACCTACTGAACGATGGGATGTACCGGACCTGACTGGTGACGGCATATCGTGCTTCTGGTAGGATCTCGGGGCACACCACTACACTACCTCCATATTCTACAACAGCAGCACAATCCTCGTCACTTCTGGCTTTATGCTGGACAGGCGATCTATTTGCAAAATCAATTTCAGAACCACGGAGACCCAGACTATTGCAAAGCTCATCCCTGTCTCCACATGTTTGGGATCATGAAGCAGGCATAGGATCTATGTTTGTAGTCCTAGATAAGCATCAGCCTATCATGCTCGGGAACCGATATATATATAGTAGCAGGTGGTGATAGGTTGGGATCGAACCTAACAAGAAGTCAGACAGCATATTCAATTTAAAGGGTGTTATCTCAAGGGTCAAGATAGTAACTCTATATATCAACATGATAAGAGCATGTGTGGGTGGTAAATATCATCCTGTTGAAAATACTAGACTAATCGATGGCCGACTGAGTAACTATACAGCCTAGTATACAGGTGAATAAACTGCTATAGAGTAGCATTTGGATGCAAGAGTTGTACATATCGAACACACTCTCCATTGGTTGAAAAACATTTCTTTTTTTAAACAATCGCCGAACGTGGTAATTCCATACTTTATGTCATGTAATACGATACAAAACCGTACGGTAAAAACCCAGGTGGGGCCCTGTGGCTGCATTCGGACCCATGGGAAGCTCAAAGTCTCCTGCGGATCATCATCTGTCCGGTCGCTGGTTGGCTATACATGTAGCCAATCAAAAGTCATAAAAAACGACTCGAGTTCTTTCAGCTGCCAATTTAGGCAGTATTCAGGATACGAGCATCATATAGGCTTCAGTAATACTTCAAGGCAACAAGATGGATGACGCAGTGTTAATATGATGTGACTCATAAATAAGAGATTGAATGCCTCATAAAGTCCATTACTTCGACAAAACAATAAAATGCAATAGAAATAAACAGGTAAGACATCCCACCTATGACATGTGTCTTGTATACAAAATGCATGCATACCCTGACACCTGATCAACATATCGTTGCCTATACTCTGTAGATGCCTGTCAATACCGGCATCCCTGCCACATGATCTATGCATGTCTCAACGCCCACTTATCAGACCATAAAGTGAATCTCACAATTCATATAGTAGAGCGAAAATCGCCCATAATATACACAGATAGTACATACGTACAACCGAAACCCTAGTTGTATCATGTTGTCCCAAGCTAATCCAAACGCCAGGAATGCCAAAAATCAGAAAAACCGGCCAGAAATCGATCCCGGCCGCACGTATAGTCGTTTTATGTAGTCTTTACGTTCTCCGCAGACTGTCCGTCCATCATCAACCAGAACACGATAGGTAGAACCATCAATTCGGCATGTCTATCTGAAAGCAACACCATCTACTCCGACCCCTCAGTCTTCGTCTTCGTCTTCTCCGCAAGACCAGCCTATCCCAATTAGCACGAATCTCCCAGATACCTAATGTCAAGACAACATACCAAGCTCAACAACTTCCACACACCGTCACTAGGCTGCGCCCCTACACCTAGCCAATATTTCGCTCGTGACCGGTCGAGAGCAACCTCCTTGTATGGTCTGGCATTGCGCGCTTGTTCGGTGGAGAGGTTCGTGGGGCGTTGGGGGAGGGGGTTGTAGGTTCCGATGACTTCGAGGGGTTTGGAGTCTCGGGCGGATCTGATGTTGTAATGTTAGTATGGTTTCAAGTTATCGGGGGTGTATGGATAGTAAGCGCTGAGGGAATGTGGTGGATGGGAAAATTTGACATACCGTGCCTGCGAGACGCAGATGTTGTAGAACGGCTGGTGCTTGTTTCCAAACCGCGAGAGACGAATACGGACGACCATCTTGGTGACTGTTGTATAAATCTGAGGGAATGAATAAACCGAATTGACAACAATCGCGCAAAACAATTTCTCGATATCCCAGTTCCCACTCCGCGGAAGTTCGATCGGAATTTCGGCGAATCTATTGCTCCGGTAATCTTCGAATACGGTTTAGGGCTCTGAGGAGGGGTGATGTAATCGCATTGATATCACGCATCTAACGTTCTTCTGTCAAGGTCCTCTCGACATCAACTATCAAGGACATATATGTTTCGCTCATTGCTTCCATTCAGACGATCCTCTCTCACCACATTCAAAAACTACACTACAGCAACCAAGATGTCGCTGAAGGTATGTACAACTACATGTATACCACCAAGGTATCCATCCTAACATCAATAGGCAATCTCCTCCAAAGACGCCGCGGCCCTCGACAAGGACCTCATGGAGATCGGCGGATGGTCGCTAGACCAACTAATGGAACTAGCCGGATTATCTGTCTCGCAAGCTGGTAAAACATCCATAAGTCTAGTATGCATACTATGTAGACATGCGTGCTGACAAGGTGGAAGTCTACCGCGTCCACCCATTGAGCTCCGGCAAGAACATTCTTGTTGTCTGCGGACCCGGTAATAACGGAGGCGATGGTCTAGTCGCAGCACGCCATCTCGCTCAATACGGCTACAATCCCTCCATTTACTATCCCAAGGAGGGCAAGAATGAGCTCTACCAGGTACTGCCCTCAACTCTGACTCTCATAGATATGATTGATATGCTAACGCAAACAGCGCCTAAAAACCCAACTCAACAACCTCGCCATCCCCTTCATCACCGACTTCGGCGAAGCCCTCAAATCCACACACTTCATTATCGACGCCATCTTCGGTTTCTCATTTGGCGGTCCCCTCCGTGAACCCTTTCCCTCTATTATCTCACAGATCGAGTCTACCTCTATTCCCGTGTTGAGTGTTGATGCACCCAGCTCTTGGGATATCCAGGAAGGTCCGCCGAAGGAGGGTCCAGGTGCGAAGTTTATGCCGCAGAGCTTGATTAGTTTGTCGGCGCCGAAGCCGTGTGTGAAGCACTATAGGGGGAGGCATTTTATTGGGGGGAGGTTTTTGACGAAGGCGATTGTGGAGAAGTATGGGTTGGATTTGCCGCAGTATCCTGGGATTGATCAGGTTTTGGAAATTGGTGTTGACGCGGAGGGGAGGCTTTAATGTGTTATTGAAGTATGAAGTATGAACTAACGACCAAAATGAGAAATTTAAGAGTTACACTATTATATTCATTCATCATAGGATAACTCTGCTAATACTAGAATAGATGCATTCGCCATTAAGAGTTGGGCTCGTCATGCCAACGACTCTCTAATCTCACCAACAACACCCTTCACTCGTGGTTCCTTTCCAATTGCACTTCCTGAGACATTCCCAAGAACAGAACCGACATCATAGATATCCTTAGCCGCACTTTTAACCTCTTCACTAAGGGACTTGATCAAAGTCCCTAGAGCGACGAGGCTACGGTAGACGGCTTCCGAATCCTTCTCATCCGAGAGCATCTTGGTTAATTCCTCGATGAGCACTAAGCCTCTTTCAGAGGACTCTGGGACTGATTCCCGACCTTCAGTTGTGAAATACACGGCGTAGTTGATGTAGAGAGTTGCAACGGCAATGGTGAGGTTGCGGTTCGGAGTACTGTTGCTAGCTAGGGCGGATTTGATCCCAGTTAGAATTTGGTCGAATTTGCTCGTGGTCAACTGACGACCCGGAACGGTTTCAAACAGGTTGCCAAACATGCGGACTGAAAGCATGGCGTTGTTCACATTCAAAGGAGGGTTGAATACACCACTCGACTGGATGCCAGACACAAGATCCTGCCCGTTGTATGCTGTCGTTGCGGTGACTGGAGTTGCTGCGGCCACTAAACGGAGGAGATCCAGGCCAGGGAGTCGATTCGCGACTGGCCACGTCGTTGCGACCTTGAACAAGTAGCTCACTCCGGCCTCGACTGCTGGCGATTGTTTAAGGGTTCCGGACGATTCGAGTTCGCTGCATAGTGCAATAATTGTATCCAATTCGGAAGGCCCGAGTGAGATTTCCTTTGACCCCGAAGATGCAAGTTGGCCATTCAGCTCTTGGAGTTTCTTGGCGACCACTTTCAGGTTAGCAGACTTGATCGAGAGGTACGACTTCTGAGGAAGGACTTGTGGCCGCGACTCGGGTACGGAGGGAGCTTCCGCTTCTCCAGGGCGATACCGATTCTCTGTACCCCAAGGATCAGCACCGGTGGCCTCCTGCGGACCGAGAGTAGCACCCTGTGTATTCTGGATGATGAATTGAGCAACCTGTTCAAGGTAACTGACAGGTAGTTGATTGTCCCCAATGAACTTGGTTGCCGCATCGTACGGGTTTTGTGAGACGTTGAATGGAAGTTTGAGAGGGGGCTTGCCGTCCTCGACGTCGACGTCGAAAACATAATCGTAGTCTTGCCCAGCATATGTTGTCTTTGACCCGCTGCCAGCTGCATCGACAACCATGCCCACCGCTATCCACTCTTGTGTGGCTGATGACCACGTGTGGGCCGTAACGCTGCCGTTGTGTTCTCGGATCATTTGCACTTGACCCTCTTTGGTGCCAGACTTCTGCTTGAGGAAATCGGGACCTGGTAGTTTCTCTTTATTAATCTTTCCTACTTGCTGCTCGGGGATGGCGGACTCTCGCACGGCCCCGTCAAACTGCTGCACGACTTCCGGACTCGCATGGCGCTCTGGGCTTCTGCTGAAGATCCGGGTTATCCGATCGCTTGCACCGGTGACGATGTCTCCATTCTCTTTACAAGCAGCGACGCCCCATACGGAAATCGCAGGATGGGTGATGGTCTGTACACATTGTGTTCCATTCCACACCCGAACGGTTCGGTCTTCGCCGGAGCTCACCAATTCGCCAGACGGCAAGACATCCAACGAATATATGAAACTCTCATGGCCATGTAGCTCCGCAACCTGCTTACCTTGAATTGTAAAAAGCCTAATTACACCGTCGTTACCCGCAGAGGCGAATTGCGCGCCGGTGGGATGGGATGGGGGCAATTTGCAGAGGGCACGGACGACATCACGGGAGTCTCTGATGCTTCGTAAGAGGTTTCCGGCGGCATCGAATATCCGGATAGTTTTATCGGCGCAGCCTATCAAGCGTGAGTATCTGACAGATGATCGCACGCAACCAAGGTCCTTACCAGTAATGATGGTGTTCTGGTCATATGCCAACACCGTCCAGACGCTACCTTCGTGACCTTCCATCACAACATCACATTCCCACTTTCCAAACCTCCATAGTCTTGCCGTAGAATCCCAGCTTCCACTGACAATCCATCCTCCTTCAGGACAAACATCTAATGAACAAACATTGTGACCATGACCCAGAAGCATAGCATCCGCATTGTCGTCAACTGACTTCCCCGGTTGTCTCGCTTCAACGATTGTATCCTGACCACCTGAGAGTACCAGTCCTTCGGGAAATTCAGGTGTTGGAGGGTAATATGCTAAGGTGTTGATGAACGCTGTGCCGTGGGTGGTGATGGTGTAATCGTAAGCCGGCGGCGGGGTAGAGACCAGCCTCCAAAGTCGAACAGTTGCATCTCGAGAAGCTGAAAGCGCGACATTGGAGTTGGGAAAAGCCACGGCACGGACCTGTGAGACAAAATCGCAAAACAATCAGTATTTGAATGGAGAAAGTGGCTAAGGGGTTGTTTGGCTATTGCCGGAGCGGGCCTTACATCATCGCCGTGGCCTTCCAGAGACGCGGAGATCTTGAAGTCAGCCATACATACGACTGCCACCGCAGAGTCGTGGAGGTAGAGAAAGTAGAGGGGGAGAGTAAAGGTGGCCGGGAGAATCCAGCAGAAAGAATTTATTGACAAATGGACAAAAAGAGGAGGTGGATTGATAATGCAGCGTGAATGACTGTTGGTCGGGGTCAATTGTACATCATATCACGTGGGCGGTGGGATCATATTGGAAGTTGCTAGAAATGTATATTCGTATGTCTGAGCACTTCTACTATGGCAATAATAGCTTGACATTGCTTGTCTGTATTGCTTTACATGTTCTAGTCTATGCAATGCTATGTATGGAGCAAGGACGCTAATGAGAATGCTGAAACTGGATGGATCGAGAATACTACTAGCCAGTAAGGGAATACGCAGCCAAATGATAGATACAGCACTGCTGAACCTGATTGTTACATTGTATCCTTGAATGTTTTTCCTTTAAATAGAGGATTCCTCAGTGCCTGTACATATTAGTAGTACTAGTAGTAGTATCATCGAAGTCCAACTACGCACCTCACGTGCAGAGCCACTAGTCCCGACTCGGCATAGCACCAAGCCATCGGACATTTTGGCTTGGACGAGTATCAAAGCAGACCTAGAGACTCTCCTCCCGGTCTGTTTCGCTACATGGGCCGAGACCCTGTTTGTTTTGCTTTCTGTCAATAATACGAAATAATTGTCCAAGGACTGGGTGCTCCGTCCGTCCAGTCTCTTTTTTTCTCTTTTTTCCCGTGTCATCTTTCTCACCTTTCCTTCTCTTCATCCGTTTGCACCCCGCCGTCCTGTTGATGAATTGACGAACCTGACGAATTTCCTTCTACCCGTTCTGCATATATCTCTGACTGTCTTGACGTGTCTGTTCGGCTTACTCACGACCATTCATTTGACTTTCTGTACTTGATTTACTGGGTCCGTGTGGTGCTCCGTGCTGAAATCAAGATCGATCGTTCCTTTGACCGACTCTGGGATTGGACGCGAAGTCGTCTTCATTGAAGAACCCAGACCTTTGCATCTCCAATTCCAAGCTTCATCTTTCGAAATGGCTTCAGGTTAGTTGGGTTCTGTGCCTCGCGGGTTGAGGTACAATGGACTGCGGCTGACCGTTTAGACATCCCGAAGGTGGTACCTCTAACCTGTCACGGACATTCTCGTCCTGTGCCACACATCAACTTCTCTTCCACTGTTGAGGATGATCAGTACTACCTTATTTCAGCTTGCAAGGGTAGGTCATTCTTTCATGGTTGAATATGTCAGGAAATAACTGTTGCAGACAACAACCCTATGCTCCGGGATGGCATTACTGGTGATTGGTTGGTCTTTTATCTTCCTTTCACAATAATGAATGCTTTACTGATGCAATTTACTAGGATCGGTACCTTCTTCGGCCACAAGGGAGCCGTCTGGCAAGCTCGACTCTCTTCGGACGCTAACATAGCAGCCACCGCAGCAGCAGACTTCTCAGCGTAAGTTGCGTCACCTCAATCTCGGACAACCTCTAACAAACCACAGCAAGGTCTGGGACACCCACACCGGCGAATGCCTACATACCCTTCAACACGCCCACATCTGCCGCGCAGTGGCATTCCCTATCCAACAAAACCCCCAAATCCTAGCCACAGGAGGTGCGGAAAAGAAACTCCGCATCTTTGATCTCACCCGTGGCGGCGACAACAGCACGTCCTCTTCCCCCACAGGAACCCAACCTAACACCGACCCAACAAGCTACGAAATCGGCCCGGGCGTCCACGGCGGCACCATCAAATCTATCATCTGGAACAGAGACTACAACATCCTCACCACCGCCGCCGAAGACCGCAAAATCCGCTGGTGGGACCTCCGCTCTCGACACCCCGTCCTCGAATACACCGTCGACGGACCAATCGGTAGCTGCGAGCTGAACAGCCTTGCCTTCCGCCCCAACGATCCTGGTATCCTCTCTGTGGCTGCTGGCAAGTCCGTATACCTATTCGACGGCATGAACCCGGGCCGAATGTTGAAGAAGATTGATTTCTCATACGACGTGGCGAGCGTGGCTGTGAACAGCGAGTCTGGACGATTGGTCACGGGTAGTGCGGAGGATACATGGGCGCGTGTTTACGATTTGCATACGGGAAAGGAATTGGAGGTCCAGAAGGGGCACCACGGGCCGATTTGGTCTGTTAGTTTTTCGCCGGATGGGAAGCTTTATGGGACTGGAAGTGAGGATGGGACTATTAAGTTGTGGAAGGCTTGTCGGGAGTCGTATGGGTTGTGGCGATAGATGGACAGCCTTGCGGTGCGGTCTCTTGTTGATGAATATGGTACGGTGTGAACGATGCCAAAGTGCTGAGGCTATAGTAATACCCATGAATATGCATATTCCTGTATTACTCAATTAATACTAGTAGTGAATACTACAATGAAATATATTAACCAAACCCAAATAACCAAGTTGGAATCTACCCGTTTAAACCAATCGATATAACAGAATGGAGAATAAAACAGAGCAAAAAAAAAAAAAAAAAAAAAAAAAAAAAAAAAAAAAAAAAAAAAAAAAAAAAGAAAGTGAAATGTGAGACCCCTACTCAATCATATCCACGTCATCATCCCCAGCAGCAGCCGTAGTAGCAGGCGCAACCTGCTGTGGCTCATCCTGAACAGCCTCCTGATCCGCAGCCCCAGCTCCGGCATTCGCAGAGCCACCCCAATAATCCTCCATCTCCTGATCGAGCTCTTCCTGCGTCTTGCGAGGCCGGCCATTAGCCGTCTTGTTCCCGTCCTCACGACGGCCTCTTCCCTGTCGTCTGTCTCCTCCGTTTCTGCGTGTCGGCGATCGTCTGCTTTGGCCGGGGACATAGCGATCGATGTTCTCCGGTGGTGGCTTGGAGACGTCACTGCGGCGGCCAGCAGGTCCAGCACCACCACGGCCGCGTCGGCGCCGTCCGCCTTCGGCACCCTCCGGGCTCAGACTGCGAGAATCCCGGGGCCGCTCGACACGGTCGAGAAGGCTGCCTCGCGGTCTCTCCACATTGTCAAAGGGGTTGCGGTCCTGTTGTCTTCCTCTGCCTCCGCTGCCGGGGATGAGTGTGAGGCGGATGGGCTGGCCTTTGGCGTTTGCGCCGTCGAATTCGCCGATTGCGGTTTTGGCGTCACTGAGGCGGTTGTAGGTTACGTAGGCGACACCTTCGGAGCGGCCGGCGCGGTCGTAGACCAGCGAGAGGTTGAGGATGGGGCCGATCCGAGTGAATAGGTCCTTGGCTAGTTAGCGTGACACGCATATGGTAGTGTCAAGTAACGACGAACCTCGAGATCAGTTTCTGTGATGTCGTAGTGGAGGTTCTCGACACGAATCTTTGTTAGTGCGGAGGTACTGTCATGTATTAGCAACCTCCAGCAAATTTAGACTGACTAAGGAATGCATACCGGTCGTCAGGCAACGGCGAATAACGATCACCTCTCTGGCGTCTCGGAGCGCGGGACGGGCGAGCTAGAAAACAGTCAACACCACAAAAACCATCACCGGATATCGACATGGACATACCCTCTCGATCATCTTCGTACTTGTCGTGCACCCAATCACTATTCCCAACCTTGTCAGCAATCAATCCGCATCGCCCAAAGCCATCAACAAGTGTAGGGGACGGATAATTACAGATCCAAATCAGGTTTATCCTCTCTATAGGACTGTCGTCGTAAATAAAAAGAGAGAAAACAAAGGTTAGCTCGAAGTCAATGTTATCGTTGCGTTGTGTCAAAAAAAAAAAAAAAAAAAAATAAAAAAAAAAAAAAAAAAAAAAAAAAAAAAAAGAAACT